TCCACCATGCAGTGCCAGTTTTTCACACACTTCACATTGCAGCCTCTCGCAGGCAAGAATCGCCCTACCTATCCCGGCCATCATCCTCTGCATCATATCCTATCTCCCTCGTTATCCGTTGAATATCCAGACTGCCACTGCCCCGTAAGTGGCAGTTTTAGTGTTTTAGCCCAAAAATAATGCACAGTGCCATTCGATACCAGCCTTAGCGATATATGGCTTTCACCGCATCCCTTTCTTCGAAGTGCGGCCACAACCAATGGGCAACTGTACAGCGCACGGTGTTTTACCATGCACATGCTCAAAGGACATTCCATGCAAAACCGCTTATTGCAAGTGGTCGACAACTAAAAACAAGGTGAGTGGGGCTACGGGACTCAAATACTTCATAAAACATGTACGTATAAACTTCCTCCACTTTCGACTTCCGTGTGCATTGCATGTGGTGATAACGTGCAAGTGAATCGAACAAGTTGGTGGCTGCATGAATATGGGCGACGGATGATCCGGCTATGTCACACCAATGACGCTTGACGACCACACCACAAGCTCATTACGTCAGTGCCCTAATCCAACGTTTCACATGATCATCAAGACCGGCGGAACTGGGACATTTCAGGCACACCGGAGGACGTCCTACAGCAGGGAAGTCTTGAAGTGCGTTCGGAGCGCGTGGGTTCCGCGCCAATTGGCAGGATGCTTGGCGTTTGGCAGTTTGGTGAACACAAAAAGGGGATTTTTCTGCCAAATTCTGCGCAGTGACGTGAAATTGCTGGAGCATGTTCCGTGGATTTTCATCACCGTGGCGGTCATTGCGGAGGAAGGAGTGTACAAGTGCAGTCGAAGATTTGAAAAGGGGTATATTTAGTGATTATTACCATTATGTTCAGGTCCTGATCCTCACTGAGACATGAATACACATTCATGTCTCAGCAGGGTTTGTTTGTAACGTTTTGGGTGCATGGGGCACTTTACATGTGGCGCAGCACGCAGACTGGCGTCGTATGTGGCGCTGTCTCCATACTGGCACACGAGGCAAGTGCGTTGGTGTTTTCCGCGCGGGATGCTTCTGAACGGTCGTGAGGAACTTCGTGACGTCACGAGGGTATTCCATTCCTTTCGAACGTCCTCTCTGTGGGGCGTCCCCCACTCATATGTGGGGTGTTCTAACATTTACATAATACAGCAATACTCAAAAGTGAAGAAATAGCTGTTTAACCCATTAGTAAACGCATATTGTTCCGCTGCTCAACTAATCATCTCTCCGGCCCAAACATATAATGGATGCTTATGGTGACCGTCGAAGTGGTGGACCGCAACAGACCAGTATAAAGGATTGCGCTGGTTGGTTATTCACGAGTAGATGAGCCATTGGTAGGGTGATATTCCGTTACGTATTTAAACTTCGCACGACGAGGCCATTGTTACACCCTCGCCCTACGAGGGCCCCCGACGACCTCCAATCAACTTTTGAATTAGAACAAATAAAGCCTCAGGATGAAAATCAGTGTGCTACTGTATTGCTATCAGTGCAATCAGTATTGCTTACCACTCGTTTTTTGTTCAAGGTGATTAATTGACCTTCCACATCACGCAAAACCTTAAGCCGTACATATCGGAAATTGACACGAAGTTTTCCTGCTGGTAAAATATCCCAAGTATATTAAAAGACTTTTTGCGAAACGTGCCTTAGCTTATGGCTCAGTTAGACTCACATTTGAGCGTAGTGGTGTCAGCATCATGCATGACGGAACAAATTCACTTATTAACTATTGGTATGCATTTTGTGTGGAGAAGACTGCTTCTGACAGCACTGTTTAGTAATCTGTTTAGTAAAGATGCTCCTCAATGCGTCATGGTTTGATTACGTCATCGTACTTTGAGCAACACCCATCGAGAGCCAAATGACGGCCGTTATATACAGAGATCGTGCTCACGAACGCCAGAAATGAGCGCCTCGACAAATTTATTTTTTCTTGGCTTGATCGCCGCATGGTTTATGGAATGTCATGATTTGATTGACATTATTATGACGTCATCAATGCCATGGTGACTGGAATACTCTCCTCAAAATACCTGCACCCCCCACCATTTTTCGCAGGCAGTGTAGCTTCAGAAGCTAATGGGGCTTATGTCTAATGATGGGCAGGGTCGTGAAGAGCATCAAAAGGTCTTCAAGATGGGTATTTCAGTTCAAAACCCCAAATCAATGAGAATCATTCGATTCAAGAAAAGCTGGCACCTGATGAAAAACAACATCTTTTAAATGATCTCCATTTCACTCTCACCATTGCTCGGGTTCTGTTTAGAATGACCGTGATCGCGGCATTTGTGTGATGCGACAGCAATAACATTTTGTCCAAAAATGATGGTTGTGGCACTCAAACGAAGTCATTCATGTTTACCAATGCCACAAACCATGAAATGTAAAATGTTGAATAGATGTTGTTACGGAGATACGAGCTAAGCTGCTGACTACAGCTTTCGGAGCTGTAGAGAATAGATTGATGTTACGTGCTAAAATGGCATTGCTTACATTTGCCTATGTACTATGTATTTGTCCTATGTTACTGAAAGAAATGGCAGATGGAAACAGAACAAAATAATTATAGGACATATGCCTTGAAACTTAATGACAATTGCTGTTGCGGGGAAAGGTGTCGCCCATAAGTCACACGAGCTCCTATCATCGCGATCATGAATTGCGTGCTCCAGTAAGTGTGAAAAACGTTAGACTGCATGGTGCATTGAGCGGTTAGTGAGACTAGGGCTATGCAAGTCACGCTGTTTCCCGGTCATTCCAGATGACATTGGCACTGATTCCGAGGTATAGGTGACATGTGAAACAAGCAAATTTAGGAGGACCTCTGCGCACCAACCTTGTGGAGGACCTCACAATAACACCTGCGTACGGTATGTTGCTGTGTTGATATGCAGGACCACCCGACAACTGCTGAACAAAATTGGGCAAAGCTTTGGTAATGCGGTTAGTTATTCTTGACTTTTTAGCATGACTTATGACACGTGCCATTGTTTTATACTCTATCTTCCCATGCAAGCCCGAGATGCTCCTCCAGTCGCGTCAGCCTGTGGTGCGCCTCGATTTGTGCTTTGATTCGGCTATTCATATCCATATCCTTCCAACATGCGTGACACGGCGCGAACCCTGGGCGCTTCTTCACGATGAAAATGTATTAATTGCACCGGCAAGCAGTGCGCCGTCTCAGTAAACATTATTTGATGGACACTGCTGGTGGGAACGTTGCTTACTGAGGGCACAGATCAGCATGCTCAGGCCATTACGTGCCAGTCTGCTTCTGGTCACGAGCTCTCAGTATCGGCAGCGGCCCTTATAGAAACACTCCGCCTTGTCAGCAGAACGCTGCCTTCCATTTATGAAGACTGCGGCGAGGCGCTAAATCCACAATGAAGGCTCCTCAGTCCGACACGAGCTGGACTCAAAACAAGCTTCGAAATATCAGAAGCCGATTCCGGCGCTGCACACGCTTGAGTGAGTTGCGACCATGCCGAGCTAAGGGGTGCCCGGTTTGGGAACTGCGGTCTTCTGATGGATGACAGCAGCACTCATTGGACGGCGGCTGTGACGGGGATGGCAGTGCTCCCCTGACAGGGCGTGACAGGGCATGAGCCTGCGGACACGATCTTCTGTATCCCTGACAGAGGTGCCCTCACATAGGCCTGCCCACGTTCCCGGGCAGACCAGACCGCCCGCTGACCCTTCTCGCACTTACTTTCCACCCTTGATCATGGTACTTTAACGAACGAACGTCTCAGAAAGTGTGGGGTGGAAGATGACAGTGCCCACTCGAAGTTGATTAGTTCTGTTAATTGCCACCTGATCAATGTTAAGCTTTTTTAGACAGGTGACTACGCATCCCTGGTCTACGGCTCATGCGCCTGAACGGTGATATTTGAATCCCCTCGCATCCTCTATATCATAGAAGGTAGGGTGCAATTTTGCAAGAACGGAGGTTTGTGTGTGGTAGTTCTGATCATAAACGCATGGTACATCCTGCATGTATATTGCAATCAATCCCCAGTGATGAACGGTGCACACTTGGACAGCCTTTCCACCCAGCAAGAAGAAATACCTTTTAAGCCCTTGTACAAAGTGCCAAACCAAATTTTGCGCTAGAAAAATAGCATGTGTTGCATGTGGGCAGAACTAGAACTTGGCTGTCTATGTGGTTGTGTAGTAGTTGGCTTACCTCGGTATGCATGTGTCAATGAAACACTGCAGGGATCAATGAAACTTGCATGCATTAGGAACAATCTGCATGCATCAATAAACTCTCTCTCTCTCCCTCTCCCTCTCCCTCCCCGCTCTCTCTCTCTCTCTCTCTCTCTCTCTCTCTCTCTCTCTCTCTCTCTCTCTCTCTCTCTCTCTCTCTCTCTCTCTCTCTCTATCTGTTTTCTCCCTCTCCCACTCGCCTTCTTTCTCTCGCCTCACTTTCCCCTCTCTCCCCTCTCTTTCTCCCCTCGCTGTCGTTCTCTCATCATAGTGGATTGCATCACAACAAAGACGCCTGTGATCGGGCTGGTGGGGCGGACGCCGTCGGCGTGCCTGAAGGCTTATCTTTTCGGCTATCCGAGTACGGCTCGTTGTGCTGGATGCGTCGTCCACGTGTTCACATCAGTGACGAAGGATACATTTGTACAGACCCGCAAGATGCCATCAACAAAGGTGATGATGCCGGAGACTACATGAGTGTGCGCTTCACCGAATGACAATTGCCGGCGCTGATAGATGAGGTTGGTCGGTCAGATGTGGCTGGATTGCTGTTGTGGTGGATTTATCATGTTAAAGCTCCTTATTCATGACAACAACTCCAATAGTTCCATTCATGTATGAAAGTCTGCCGTGATAAAGAGTTGCTGGCTTTAGACATAAATCAATCAGGTAAAATTAAGTGAAGTGACGCGTTAGGAAAGGATAACTGCAGTAAATGGCGCATCAAATCATTAATTTATTACGTAGAACGCATGCATCTCATTGGGCACGGATTGTTTACAAAATGACTGCCCCTTTCGTCTCGTTTTACCAATATTCTCAGCAACTGCACTCAGTTTCACTCATTACAGCAATACATCGCCGCAAAATAGAACACACAGGGTTTTACATGTATACAATAAATCCGTTCCCACAACAAGTCCCATTGCGGCTGGAGCCCGACGAAACATGTGATACACCTGTGTGGCACAGTTATCGCAACATTACAGGAGTAACTCCTGAACACACGAGCTGCTCAACGGAGCAGACAGCAGCAGTCCAGAGCAGCAGTCATTTATAGTCACTGCTAAAAGTGTTTGCTATGAAGGTTTTCTGATCATGCTGCTGCAAAAGATCCCAACGGAACGTCTGGGTTAAACATCAGTTATCCGGGATAACAAAAGGTACGAAAAACGAGTTCCATCGACACGCTGTGTCTTCTTTTGCATGACTTCAAACAACGTCAGTTTTGCATGGCATCACTTGGCAACATTTAACCACTGGAAAGAAACGACAAACTTTGATGCACGGCAGGGAGTCAGGCATTTTTATGACGACAGCGAGAAACTCTTTGATATCGCAGCAGTGGGGGAAACCTTACTCCGCTCTTCCACCGATAGTGTGAGCGTGACTGCCCCTTCTCAGGGCTTTATGGACGGAATGCATATTGCTCCCACACCTCGGTCGTCCAAACGCGTCACCAATCGGCCCATACTCCGGTCATATGGCGTGATCGTGTTCGGGCCCACGCGTCAGGAGCTCGCGCCAGAAGAGCTGCTCCGCAGGCTACCACGCGCCGTCTTCTGGCGCCCACTGAAGCACCGCCGTCGCACCCGCTCTCAGACAGCCCTGTCACTCCAATCACAGCTGGCTCACACAGTTCTCTGAAGAGACCGCACCGCTCGCCGGACGGCCGGCCGGCAGCAGCTTTGTCTTCTGTGAGTTTGCAGCGGCGCCGAAGGCTGCTGCTGCCGCCGTTTGCGGGCCGCTCACGCTGTCCGCAGTTGATCCACTTCGTCCACAGGTCACTCACACCGTTTGCAGGTCACTCACACTGTCTGCAGGTCACTCACACCACTCGTGACGCAGACGTTCTCCGGTCGTGGGGCATGTGGTCTGTGCGCGTCGCCACAGATCGGCACCCGCAGGCGGCGCCTCCGCACGTGGTCCACGCGCGTGGCTAGAGAGCAGCGCCCCGGACGGCGCCTCGGCACGTGGCCCACGCGCGTGACTAGAGGGCGGCGCTCCCGGGCGGCGCCTGCACCACCGTCTCGGCGCTGGTGGAGGACGAGTCGGACGGCCTCGAGTCAGCGACTCGCAGCGAGTCCTGCCAGACACAGAAGACGTCGTCAGAGGCGAGAGGCCTGCTATCCGGACCCCCGCCGCGTAGACGGTGCTCGGCGCTGCCCCGAAGCTTGGCATGTTTAGCGAACGTTCCACGTTCCATGAAATATAACCGTCTGGAATCCTATGAAGGAGCATGCGAAGTCGGCATAAACCTACACGACCACTGCCTCCGTGGTAATATTGCATGCATTAGGCAGAGCAGCGTCGCAAATCTTGTGGCGACATTTCCACAACTGTTCGCTGGCATCACAGTGGCAGTTGGGAGAGGTATTCAGTGAATTAATTACACGGCACATTTGCTCAGGATTGGTGCAGCATTCCGACATAAAACCTGACATCAACTGCATTGTGGGGGTATGCATTCCGCTGTACTAAAACAAATGTTCTGTTTCGTTGTCCGGTAGTTACTAACGGTCGTAGTTAACATCTTAGCAAAGGCAATGGAAATCGGGATCATGTTGCACTTAATGGTTACGATGCACTATGTGATCAAGTCTCACAGCTACGTTGATGCAATAGCATGGTAGAGGTGATGCTAGGGAAGCCCCTCATGCAGCGCGACGTCTCGTGGTGTTGTTAAATGGAGCGATGCACTTTGGCACGTACTCGGGAACATAATCGTGCTCGATGCAGTTTTGCATGATTACAGTTGATTCTAAATAAAACACCGAAGCTGGGTGATGAATAAAATCAGAAGGACTTTGCAGGGTGTGAATCAAATCATTACCACACCCGCGTTAATTTTGTTTTCAGACTCTGATCCTGATAATATTTTTAAAAAGCCGAATCAAGCATCCAATCAGCTCGGCTCAAATCAAAATGTGCAAGGAGAACAAGTCACCGCAAGTGTGACATGATACAAATAATACCAAACACTTGCTGCAAGTTTAGGGCAGTGGCTTCTGAACGCACGTTACGCGGCAGTCATGGCCATTTCCTCGGCAGTGACGGCAGTGTGCGTGGTGGTGGAATAGCGTCCAAAGTGCAATCTGCTCAAATAATGAGGCATATATGGCAACGAGGTTAGTAGGCCTGTCACTGGTTTGTTCTTAAAAATTTCTCTTGGGATATCACTTTGAGTGGCATACCATCGGAGCGGTTTGCAACATCGCTGATGACACCATACTCAAAGTAAACCCGGGATAAGAAGCATAGCCCATGACAGCAATTGAATACAGCCTGAGCGTTCAATGTTGAGATATAGCACTGTTATGACACCATATATATACATATATATATATATATATATATATATATATATATATATATATATATATATATATTGTTGTGTTCATACCGCAGTGAAGTACAGTCTGATTATCTCAGACAAAAGCTCATACAAGGGCAATCATTTCGTCTAGACAACTGACCCATACCATGCAAGCTAAGCAAGCAACGACCAACAACACGTTACCCCACTGGCGACAGCTTTGCATTCGTTCACTACCTGCGACAACACCTGGCTTCACGCCACTCAAGCATTGCAAGTAAGATCAGAAATCGTAACGTGTAACATCCAGCGAGCTGACACACTGCAAACGCACACAGAAACCCCAAGAAAACACACCGTAAAAACATACCATAAAAATGTCTACCAACTCACTATAGGGTCAACTATTAAGGACTGGAGAGCAGGCAGAAGGTGCGCTATACCGAGCTCTCGTGTGCTGCTGCGTGGCCCGGTGCCGGCTGACCCCTGTGACCTCTGGGCTGCGAGCCGTGACCCCAGCCATTCGGCGGTGGAATCGGTGGCAGGTGGTTATGATGCGAGTAGCCTATTTGTGCGTACGCCACCGGCTCGTGACCTTGACCTCTTGACGGACGCCTCGGTCGGGTCAATGTACCGTGCGGCAATGACAGCTCGGCGTACTGTATCACATCTTCTGGCTGAAAGCAGAAACAGTTTAGTTGAACAGACGGAAAATGAGACAGTACGTCATCACGAGGAAATAAAGCGGAATGAAATGGAAAGGACGAACCACGCAATTACAGCATCGTAGTTTTAGGTTACACTCCAACTCAACTGGGACTTTCGATTCAAGTTGTTATATGTGGAAACGGTTGCCTCAAGCGTTCCGAGGTTTTCGTGACATGAAAACCAAAACAAATAATTAAGACCCATTTCTTCCCATCAGTTAGTCCAAAAGCTTGGTTATAAGTACCACACTATCATCCTCAAATGGGACACGAACCGTCTTTTCATTATTTTCTGCAATCCAGTCGAGGGTAACTTCATATATTTTACTATTTTTTATTTTCCATTTTAGTCAAGATTGATACCAAGGCAAGCTCTCTGTAAAGACCCACCTATCCCGGATTTTCCAAACATAGCTATGTTGTTGTAACCCAAGGACCAAAAACAGGTCGTTCTGCTCTGAGGCAGTCTTTTTTGTATGAAATCAGCACACGACGATGGCGCCTCAAAGCCAATGTTTCACCTGCCTGTGGCAGTCAGTCAGGCTGCCGTGAATTACCGAACACACAGCCACCGCCACCCGCCAGTTATGCCTCAGCGGCAGTTTCACATATCCCAGCAAGGGGCCGCCATATCTTCGAATATTTGTTTCGAAATGTTCAATCCAAAACTTGAGATTCGGTGTAATTGTGGGACCCGCACCCACATCCAGCAGTGCTTGGTGCGTGAGCCCTGACCCACCATCCCACCCGAAGCTTTCAGGCCAATGGCAGAATTTGGCGTGGAAAGCTTCACGTGATGGTCGGTTGAGTGCGGTGTGCTTAAGGGAGGAATCAATTTAACGCTCTCCCATGAAAATTCTCAGGGTGGGTAGGAATCGAATCATCAGGTCAGCCACCTTATCCCACTCTGAAAAATACAAGTAGCCAAAAACCTTGAGTCAATTAGGATAATACAACTTTTAATCAGCGTCAAAGACTGCCCATGTTCCTCAGAGCAAGGACTATATTGAGGTTTGCGCCAAAATTTTCCATATCTGTAGACAATTGAATAGCGGATCGTTTGGCATCACAAATTTAGATGCACCTTGTAAGGTCGCTGACTTATGGTAGGTCAAAGTCAGGCCATGGTTTCAGTGAAGGAAATTTCTAGAGAATCGTTAAATCTGATGCAACAAGGGGGTGTTTGACGAAGCCATACATCTCTGAGACGCTTTATTAGACAAAACAAGTATTGAATGTTACGTTGACCTAAGGTCGGGTATGAAGGTCAGCCCAAGACCAAAACCAGCCTGTTTTATTGTTCTAGGATTTGCTGTATGGGATAGTTTCTGGTGTTCATTTCAATTTGTTGATAGCATGAACCGCATTATACATCTTTCATTGACTTGTAAGAAGTCAGAATAGGTCGTTGACCCAAGATGACCCGAGTCGAAATTTTGTTTTTAGGAGCATACTGTGCATAATCTTTGTCGCCTATTCAAATGCAGAACTCAGAGCAGTCTTGTAGTATTTTATCACCCCTGGGGGCACTTTGGAGACCTCCCTAGAATTTGACCTTGCTTGGCCTTATTTGAACTAAAGGTCATAACCTAGGGACCTCATACTTTGACCTAAGTGAGATCACGTACAGGCCAACACACCATGCAAATTTGATGTCTCTAGTTTTCTTAGTTGCCGTGATCTCAGGGGGAGTCAAATTGACTCCCCACCCGAGCGAAGGCTATCTAGCCCGCCATCCGGGCGCGTGCTAAACCTCCGTGTCTCGGCTTGAAAGACATCCGAATAATGTTCTTGTCCGAGTACAATGGTCTGGCCTGATCTGGACGTTCAGTAACATGCACTGGCTTAATGTCAGAAAGATGCAGAGTTATATTAAAACAAATCAACCAAAAGATCGGCTATTCGGCTATTCAATGTTCAGCAAGGTTTAATATCGCTATGCGGCACCACTCGGAAGTGATTCTGGAAACAACTTGAGGGAGCAATTGTATCTGACACCCTAGCGCTTGTTACCATGCCAAAATGGTCGGCACGGTTCGCCCTGCCTCTGACGTCACATGACCTTTGACGCAGCCACTGCTAACCGCCGGAAGCCATCCCAATCAACGGAAAATAGTGAGCGCCTAAACTGACTCGAACCCACGTGCCTACGAACCGGCGACTCGCAAGCGGACAATCTAACCATTTCGGATGTGGGGAAGGGCAAATGACTAACATGGTGCATTATCAGCCTTTCAAACTGAACAATACTAAACACGCCAGAATGAAATGAAATGGAGAGGGAAGTGTCAAACTAAATATATGCGCTGGTACTTTGCTGCGTACCAAAACCTAGTGTGCATGTAGTATAGTAGCATTACTAATGACTAAGTTCTATTTTGGCCAGGAGCAACCGAAGCCGACAGTCCGTAGTGGAAGCTTAGGTCAACTAAGGAGAGGTGAGGCCTCCTCAATGAGAACACATTAGATAATGCGTCTGATACATTGCCGGATGGTAACTGGTAGCAATTAATCGTCGTTAGTTTCATCCACGAACAGAACCTTGAGTACACACCTTACCGAGAGGTGACAAGCACTTTCGTGCCTTATGACCTCATTTTCGTAGCTGTTAACATAAGGTCAAACGTTTTTGGCAGCCTGCGACGGTGCTAGCACACAGGACAAACGCGTTTGAAGTCGAAAACACTTAAAGACAATGCTTTTAATTTTGCACATCGCCATATGTGTGGCAAAGTCAAGTGACCAAGTGTGAAATGTAATTGAATCGATTGCTTAACCCCAAGCGTCAGAGCAAGGAATGGACAGAAAAAGAGGCATCCCACAAGCGATCTTTAACTTTCACGTAGACCATGCTTGGTTACTTCCTACTGTTTTGCGTGTCCGACGACGTCAACGCCATCAAATCACGTAGCCATTTTTGTTAGCAAGACGTACTGAAGGTACTTGAAGCGCAAAGTGACGAGTAACCAGAACGAGCTTGGTTCTGTATTGTCCCATTTCCTTTTGGCACGGATGTCCCTAGAAAAAGAAGAATCCGTTGATGCCCGGTGAGTCGCCTGGTGCAACAGCGTGCGTTACAACGGCTATTGGCGGTAGCAGTGAGAGTGAGGCAGTGTGGTGCACGGCATACCGCCTGTAGCACTCATGCGGGAGCACAGACGGCACACACTCTTACTGCATCGTACGGATACTCCCGGAGCAACGGGACTCGTACTACACAGCCTGGACACGAATCATCTCTCTGAAAACATGAGGAGCATTTCAGATGGACGAGGTGCTTCCACTTCTACAGCCTCCAGCTCCCAAACTCTGCTATCAACGTTTGCAAACGACCACACTGTACAGTTGTTTAGAGCCATCGCACTTGAATGGGATAATGATACGGAAATACGGAGTTTTCCGGCCGAAAATATCGATATCCGTTCCTCAGATGCTCTAGAAATTGAATGAGTGCCCCACACCCAATACATTAGTTTTGCTTCAAACTGGAAATCAGACACATGGAGAGAGAGATGAGAGAGAAGAGTAGAGAGAGAGAGAGAGAGAGAGAGAGAGAGAGAGAGAGAGAGAGAGAGAGAGAGAGGAGAGAGAGAGAGAGAGAGAGGGAGAGAGAGAGAGAGAGGAGAGAGAGAGAGAGAGAGAGAGAGAGAGAGAGAGAGAGAGAGAGAGAGAGAGAGAGAGAGAGAGAGAGAGAGAGAGAGAGAGAGAGAGAGAGAGAGAGAGAGAGAGAGAGAAGAGAGAGAGAGAGAGAGAGAGAGAGAGAGAGAGAGAGAGAGAGAGAGAGAGAGAGAGAGAGAGAGAGAGAGAGAGAGAGAGAGAGAGAGAGAGAGAGAGAGATTTGATGTCAGAGATCATCACATATTGCAAGAGGTGATATCGTTGCATCCGGGGAGACGTGGCATGTCAAAACTGACACCTGACACCAGCAAGGGTCGTGCCTATGACTACCACAGCGCATCTATGGCTTTGTCCATGTTTCGGATACCTCTGGGCAGCAATCGTTCGCTTGGTTTGTTATATGCTCCGATGTGAATGCGTTACGTTATCTCCCACTAATCTTTTGGTAGCCCAGCCCCAGTCGCACGTGCACGGAGATACTGACCTCTGGCTTTATCTGAGCCTTTGCCTATTTGACTACAACTACGGCACGTCCGCGCATCTTCTTCACGGTGGGAAGAGCGTGCGTGCGCGTGGAAAACCCGTACATCAAAGGACTGTCTGGGCTTTCATAACCCCAGCTGGGCCGATTGTCACGCAGCGCGGCTAAAGGCAAGAATACGGACCCAATTTTTCCTTTTTGCTTCAGAAGATTCGATATCAAGCGACCATCAAACGTGATTACCCAATGACCCTCAGTATAAAAACATGGGGAAGGACTATAGTGCAAGGGTTCTGTATTGTCCTGTAGATGTAGGGGATGTTCTGTGTTCTGCGGGAGTTCTGTGTTCTGGAAATGTAGGGGGATGTTCTGCGGGGATGGAGCTTACATAGTGAAGTACTCGGCCTCCGCGTGTGGGCTGCCCCCGCTCGATTTCCGGCTGGGAAGGGCGCTGATGTGATGTGATGAGTGATCGCAGTCCACAATCAGAGACATCTCAGCCGCGAGCGCGCCTCGGAGGGTTGGGGGACGACGCGCGCCGCCCGACCTACTCCCTGGACTTGAGGCAGTGACTTGTTGGTGTGCTGATGATGAACATGATGTGAATTTATGCGCATGTCCAAAGAGACTGTGGATTGACCCCAAGCCGGCGTTACACATAGGTTGCGGTGTTAAACATATGTGTCGCTTCACTGTTATGTGTCGCTTCACTTGTTATGTGCTGTGTGTCCATTTATGTATTTCCGGTGGACGCAGGCCCCTTTTACGGGCGGCGCTCGGCCCCATCCGCACGGAGGCGTGCTTCGGACGAACGGACCCTCATCACACCGACACTGCAACTCGTCCGCCTCGACCAAATGGACATTGCCCACGGGGTCACGGGGGTCGAACGGGCACAAACGACCCGGACAGGCCCGTCCGGTGGCAGGCTTGACGACTTTCTGACGTGGAGCTAGTGAGGGTGTCAGGGGAGGCACTGCGGATTGCTTCAATTGCTTGCAACCACGCTGGCGTTCAGTGCTGAAGCCCATACACTGTATCCCTTGTGAGCGTTCGGCAGATGTCCTCCTTGTGAAATAACACGTGCGCAGGCTGTTGGATCTGATCGCCGTTTGATCGCCCGGCCCGATCCCCGACCGAGGGATCAAAGGCGCACTCTCGCCAGCAGCCAGGCCGAGCAGCCAGCCACTCTGCCTCTCAACGCTCGAGTCACAACACGCCTGAGCGCAACATGTGCCTGTCCGCATCCCGCTACAGCGTCGCAAACGGCGTGACGCAGCTACAAGCGGTCAGCGCACATTTGCCACAACTTCATCCGCACACAACTTTCGCTGGACGTCGGCTCCGCCACCTAAGCTGCGAGAAAAATGCTGGGCGTGGTATCAATTGTGGCTGAAGAGCGATGGCGATACAGCCGCTGATAACGGCAGCTTGCAGTCATCCTCTCACCGTCGGCGCACTCACTACCTGCGGACAGAGCCTTACCGAACGCGGCGTCCTGTGGCACCAATGGCGCCTTGTGCTTGATTTCACTCACTCACTCACCCACTCACTCACTCACTCACTCACTCACTCACTCACTCACTCACTCACTCACTCCCTCACTCACTCACTCACTCCCTCACTCACTCACTCACTCACTCACTCACTCACTCACTCACTCACTCACTCACTCACTCACTCACTCACTCACTCACTCGTTCACTCACTCGCCATCACTCCTGAGGCCTACACTGCACTGAGTCCGTAGCTGACATTTGCAGGGCACAACACTGGAATCAGAGCTCGCACCGGACCTCCAGGCGTGCGGTGCTCTCAGCTGAACCCAGCACGTCCGGCCACGCCAGCTGCCCCCGCCACAGAACTGAGGCGACACTCACGTTGTAGTGATGCTGCTGACAGTGGCCGGAACGTGGCAGCGTGGAGCTGCCGACGCCGCCCACGAAGGACGGCGACGGGATGTAGCTGATGTCGCCGGCGCGCTCGCCGCCGGACGGGCCGTCGCCGCCGTAGGTGGCCTCGATCACCGGGAAGCCGTGCTCCCCTGCCGAAGGAGGCCGCCTGTCACTGGCGCCAGCACTACGCTCGGTGCGCGGCGGGCGAGCGATACGCGCGTTGCGCTCGGTAGGGGTCGCGTGGGTGGTGCGTGGATGGGCGCCATGTGACCAGTGCAGTGGGCGTGTCGTAAAGCCCAAATTATCGCCCAGTGGGCGCGTTTAAAGCCCAGGTTATCACCATCAGCGTCATCGTGCGAGCAGCGCATGTGCTGCCTGCGGTAGGCGTCGCAGGCGTTGTGGGCTGATCGTCGAAACTGGTGGCTACTGGAAATAGGCGTGCTGAATCGTGTAATAAATTCGGCAGCTTATGTCATGGCCGTGATTCTTGGATATCATTCCGCTCCGCTGTTATTCGTAAATTGTATTCAAAATAAATCCAAGCTTGGTAAATGACTACCTCGAAGCAGTGAATGTCATTACACGCGTAGATGCAGCAATAACAGAAGCATAACATGTGGTATGTTAATGCTCTGGGCCAAAAAGTTGGCCACAAAAGCGAGGAAATAGGAATTAAAATAGCTGTGGAGGTTCTGATTCACGACACTTATGACTTTTGATACAACTTATATCTACAACCTACAACTACAACCTACCTACTTACCTACAACTTGATACAACTTTGAGCGCGACGCTCGGTAGTGTCTGGTGAAGCACCTGATGGAAATGTTGTGAACGCATCCACGCGCTGGTCTTCCTAGAGAAAGGTCACTAAGCATCCAACAATTGCTTTACATGTATCACCTTTTTGCAATGAATTCCCGTATCTCTTGAAAGCCTGCCTACGAACAAATTGACACGAGCTGTGCGGGTATAGCGAGGAATATCTGAGTGGCAAATAGTTTCCAACAAAAGTCTGGAGATAACACAACAGGCCTGAAACAGGACGGTCCGCTCCTTGACCAGTCCTTCTCGGCCCCCTGCTTTCACATATCCAACGTTATCCTGTCTTTACACTTCACTGATGCTTCCTACGGCCGGGAGAGTCGCATGTCTTCATCACGCTTTACGACGGGCACGGACAACGGCCGTGCAATGGCGTCCGCTGCAGCGGCTTATTATTTCCAAACACAACTGCAAAGCGAATGGTAAAACGGCACACCCTTGGATCACAAAAAAGCTGCTATTAAGAAAATGAGCGCCCTCAACATGTTTTTTGGTAGCAAGATTTCGGGACGCTGGGAGTTCTAAATATCTCCTTAATCAAAGGATGCCCATTATCGAGCAAACACTCAAACATTTACCCAGCTCCGATCGTGTTCCGTGCGACGCAGGCATAATAACGTCTTATTTGCAATTCAAAAATCCTATGTCAACTCGCAGGCGACAACCTCAGTTCCTCTCTGCTCTATCCGATAGGTCTGAAAACGCTAACTCTTTTCTATTTGCAGACGAACTCAGAATTACGAGACAAGAGCATTGTGTGCTTCTCAATGGCAGCTCACAGCCAATTTCCCTCGCTAGGCACCCGTAGCCGCATCAAATCCCGCCGCAACGTCCAGTGAATTATCAACTTCCACTTAACAGATAAGCAAAGGAACACGGCGGCACAGTTGCGCTGCGTCTCGCACACTACGGGCGTTTCCGCACATGGTTGTGACATATAGGCTTGCCGGTGTAATGGCCCACAGGCACGACAGCACAGCGTAATTTCGGCTAATGCCCATCGGACGTCTACACATGAAGTGAGCGGCGACCACTGCAGGGCAGGGTACGCGGCACCGGTCCGACCGCACGGCCGCCCGACTGAGGCATGCTAGCTGTCTCTGCATAATTAACCCAAATGGCCTCATCAGACGAAGTGTGTATGTGGAAGGGATGGGGTGGGGGTGCGGGGGGAGGTGGGGGATGTGGCGCGCCGAAAAGCTACAAGTCTTTGCAATGGCTCTATGGTGTGGGATTGTCTTATATTTTACGACGACGATTCTGCTTATTCTGGTATGTTATCACATATTATTGAAGTTAAAGTGGCATGGAACCACAAGCACAAACAAGGCATCAGTGCCTGTTTGTCCGACATGTCCTGCTCCTCTAAAGCACGAATAGGGCATCAGCGCCTGTTTGTCCTGCATGCCCTGTTCGTCTAAAGCACAAACAGGGCACCAGCGCCGCAACACTGTTCTGCATGCATCAACGTATCTATAAAAAGGTGTGAAAAGAATATTGGAGTGTTTCGAGGAGGTTTTCTCTCATGGGTTGCTGTATGTTCACGATAGCAAATTCAACATGCATGACTTTCTTGGTCGTTTTTTCAAGGCTTCGTGTAGTGTGCTGGTCATTTTTCTTCTGTCGACACAGAAAATGGGACCCAACAATTATTTTTAAATTATTTTATTTTCGAGAAAGTAGCAAAAGATCGCAGGCTTCTCGGAAACAAAGAAAATTAAAGCCGCGATGTGCTGTCCAGTTTAGTACAGCTGACTGAGCTCGTCACACTTAAAGAGCTCTGTTTTCATACCATATGTACTTGAATATTATCGAGCATTCTCAGCAAAACAAAAGTGACTCCCGACGGCAACATCTTTCGCCGAAGCAGAGCGGAAAAAATAGTGAACAGTGAAACAGGAGTGTGGTTTCCTATTCAGTCGTTTCACTTTCAGTCGTGTCCAATCCAGATGCTTCCTATTCAGCTGTTTCATATTCGGTTGCGTCGCCTTTAGTCCAGCGGGGGCTGGTGTTGGAATCTAGCGTTTCCGAGTGCACAGCGTGGATCACTGATACCACAAGGGAAGATGGTCTGACATGCTGGTGTCCCCCCGCTCCAGGTACCCAGCGCGTGTCTGCATGACTTCAAAAGGTCGGAGCCCTGATGTGACGGCGAATGTCTCCAGCTTCCTTTGCCTGCGCACCGTGTGTCTGTATGAGGACGGGGTCCTTACCATGTCTGTATGAGGACGGTCCCTTGCCATGTGTCTGTATGTTCTTACCATGTCTGTGTGAGGACGGTTCCTCATCATGTGTCTGTACGTGGTGGGGGTTCTTACCGTGTGTCTATATGAGTTCGGGGTTCTTACCGTGAGTCCGTATGAGGTCAGGGTTCTTACCGTGTGTCTGCATGAGGTCAGGGTTCTTACCGTGTGTCTGTGTGAAGTCAGGGTTCTTACCGTGTGTCTGCATGAGGTCAGGGTTCTTACCGTGTGTCTGCATGAGGTCAGGGTTCTGACTGTGTGTCTGCATGAGGTCAGGGTTCTTACCGTGTGTCTGCACGAGGTCAGGGTTCTGACCGTGTGTCTGCATGAGGTCAGGGTTCTTACCGTGTGTGTGCATGAGGTCAGGGTTCTTACCGTGTGTGTGCATGAGGGCAGGGTTCTTACCGTGTGCCTGTATGAGGTCGGGGTTCTTGCCATCCGACTCCGGCGCCGCGTGGGCCGTGTCCAGCTCCTTCAGCGGTAGGCCGGCGGTCAGCGGAGGATTGCCTCGCCGAGCCGCCGGCCGGCTGCGCATCCGGATCAGGATGACGATAATGATGATGATGAAGAGCAGGCCGCCGATGGCCACGATCAGAATCATCAGCACGGGCGTCACAGTCAGCATGTCGTCAAAAGACTCTGAAAAAGAACACATACCGTTCGCTGGGCAGGAAAACGATGGATGTTGACTGGCCTGTCTAGCGGACAGACATAAAGACAAGCAAGGTTCTCGTTATTCAGTCCACTAGCAGCCCAAAGCACCGTACCAATGCCCACTTGCTACCCATTTGTAATCAGCTGAGCTCAGGTTGTTGTATTTTTCCGGCACTTCAGCTCCAAATTAGCGAAAAGTTCAGGAAAGTTTTCACAAAAATCAGTCTGCCGCATTTATAGTGGCGGAAGTAGTGTAGGTAGAGCTATTTCTGACTAAAACAGGCACCGACAGTAGCATTGTGTTGCATTTTTTGAGACACCTGCCTGAAATTTCGTAAGCGTCTTACCCATACTTGTACCCGTAACCGTAATTTCCGTCAAACATGTGCCCATCCCAGCACGCTATACCCATTCCACATGGGTCATCATGGGCTCACCCACTTTGTAAGTTTACTGGTTGCAACCGGGTAACATAAGCATCCAATGGTGGTACGTGGCGACGAGCACAAAGACTCCGCGAGACGTGGATCCCGCAGTATCTACAATACAACGGTCACCGGGCGATACACCAATACCACCACCAATACCACCACCAATACCACGGTCACTCGAGGCGCCGCGGCACCATCCCAGCTGCAGCGTGAGCCGCTACCCCCGAGCGCCGGCATGCGCTGCCCAACAGCAGGCCTGCCGTCCGGGACAGCGTTGCTCCCCCCCCCCCCCCGCCCCTTTCCCCGCCAGTCTCGCTTCACGGGCCGCCCGGCTGAAACAGTCGGGCCCGGGCGGTGCCGCTGCACTCGGAGCCGCGGCGAACCCTGCAGCGGCGGCCTCATTAGCCGGGACAGGACTGCAGACCCCAATCAGCCGCCACCGGCGGCCACTCAGGTGTGTCGCTTTGTCCTGCACCTGGTCAATACCGATAGCTGCACAGTTGAAGCATGGGCACCAATGAATGCCTGGGCTGAGCCCGCTGTGGGGCGCTAGGGCGCGCATTGCAATACAAAGTTGCGGATTTTGGCATGCAAAGTGCAAAGGCGTCCCGACGAGGCAATAGCATGTGTGTTCTGAAGACAATTGCAGTATGAATAGACGGCACAGCGTTGGAATATATTTTATCCAACTAATGGCATGGAAATTGTTCTTTGGGAAAAGAGGCACACAGAAGGAGGGAGGCTGTATATGCATGTGCGTGGCAAATGAGAATGAGATGATAGATGTGCAGCAGACATAGATAATGGGATCATAGATCTGCACGGGCGGTGGACACTATGCCGAACGTTTCGTGCAAGCGTCCAATTACCCACTCAATCTCCCGACATAGTTAAGCACACCCCACCCGGTCCACTCCCTCGCCCCTCCCAGAACCCTTGAAGATCTGAGGAGCTCATCGAGGCGTACAAAGCCCAGGCATATCGCGGCCGCTCTTGATGTAGAAAGGCTTTGTTGGTTTTTCTCGGCGCGGACGTGGTCAACGAATCGCTCCATTGTCCGTCTGTGAAGTCCCACAAGCACGCGAAGCCATACAAAAGGCAAGAAAACCGTGCGTGAATCTCCAAAAATCAGGCCAGGCCGGCGTCGTGTATGACGTGATGTGTCGGGTGTAAGCCGACTTCCGTGAGTGACACCGGGCCGGGCGAGCTGGAAGGCGTCAGCAGGCAGCACGGCAGGCGTCAGCAGGCGGCACGGCAGGCGTCAGCAGGCAGCACGGCAGGCGTCAGCAGGACGGCATGGCAGGCGTCATCAGGCGTCAGCAGGCGTCAGCAGGCGACACGGCAGGCATCAGTAGGACAGCATGGCAGGTGTCAGCAGGCGTCAGCAGGACAGCATGGCAGGTGTCAGCAGGCGTCAGCAGGCGTCAGTAGGACGGACCGGCAGGCGTCAGCAGGCGTCATCAGGCGTCAGCAGGCGTCAGCAGGCGACACGGCAGGCATCAGTAGGACAGCATGGCAGCTGTTCAGCCAGCGTCAGGCAGCAGTCAGTAGGACGGACCGGCAGGCCGTCAGCAGGCGTCAGCAGGCGTCAGCAGGCAGCACGGCAGGCGTCAGCAGGACAGCATGGCAGGTGTCAGCAGGCGTCAGCAGGCGTCAGTAGGACGGACCGGCAGGCGTCAGCAGGCGTCAGCAGGCGTCATCAGGACGGCACGGCGAGATGGCCGGAGCCGGAGCGGCGCCGCTTCGCCTGACCACCGCTCACGCAGAGGCGGCGTGCAGCGACAGCTCCAGTGCGAGCCTGGTGCCGAGTGTCACACAACGAACCCTGTGCTTGATAAACGGATGGCATGTCTTCGTGTTTCGTCTCGATAAACGGATAACGTATGTTCTTGTCGGCTATGCGATGACTTACCTTTCAGCGAGCCGTCAATGACTTTCTCGGTCCTTCGTTCTGCCACATCTCTCAGTGTTTCCGTCTCCATCACCAAAGGTTTGCTTCGACCTTTGGCGTTTTCAGCGTAGATTAAAATCTGCCGGGATCAAAAGCTAGGTGTAGGTTATTACCTTCATGGCGTTCATAAACACTGCTACGCGTAAGCTAACATGCGGCTCACAAGTTCAGTGCTAGCGATTTCTTTCAAAGAGACTGACAGGAAGTGACTGTGTCGACCAAAACGTTTTCCAATTACATTATTTGGCGTTGAACTAAGGTAAAAGCCAACCTTACGGCTGTAGTTGCATGAATAGCGCGATGTGGGTTAATTGTTCTGACACGCCACAGAGTGAGGGTAACATAAATAGGGCGGTTGGTACAAATATTGACACAAATTAAAAGTGCTGTAAACATGTTGCATATTTGTAACTGCATGTTATTATATGCAATTACATATGTGCATATATAAATTGCATATTATATATTGTAATTTTGTAAACAAATACGTTTTTTGGGTGCACCAAATGCACTAAAAGGCAAAAAAAGATAGCAACGGGTAGTTGGCGATTTGGATTGCCGCCATTCTTCCTGTAGCTGCTTGAGGGCTGAAGAAAACCACCACTATTGGCGGCTGCAATTGTTCTTGTTATTGTTAAGAATGAACTTCATGAATTTTAACACGGAACCCATGAATGCATACATGTTTCAAGGACAGGAACAGCTCGAAGATCTAATAAACCCCTTCCTTTTATCAGTTCCTGAAAGTGCAAATTTGCCCTAAGCAAGTTAAAGAATTACATTATCGTAAGCCTCCGGTGAATGTAAAATCCATCGAATTCCTTAAATCGGCAAGTCTAGTTCAATTTTGTGTTCAGGTGATGCATGGTGGCACATGAATAACGTAACGGTGGCAGGAATAGATTCAAAAATAAAATATGTTATTGCTGTTCGCGTCTTCTTGCAAAAAAAAACATTGTGGGCAGAGGCTGCCTGTTTTTGTACTTCGATATGTGTATCGACTAGATGGTATTTTAGATGGGTATAAATCTACCTAACATCAGAAAAACAAAAAATGTCCCACGAAATCCTTTCGGATACCATGAAAATCTCTTAATTTGATGCTGCATTTGCTGGATATATTTTCCAAACTAATTTGGACAAGGATATGCTGAACATTTTGATTCCTAAGTATTTGGACTTCTGCATTATGTTTGGTGTTGTGGTTGGTAATAAGAGTAAGATCCAGTGTCTTTGTTAACCTGTGTTTCAGTCTACTTGCTGACGCCTGTCGCAAGACAAGTTTAACAAGTATCAGGTCATGCACATTTAAAGTAAATGACTTAGGTGTAAATAATGCAACTTACGAAAAGATCGACTACCTACATTTGCACAATTCGGACCACACGGAGACAGACTAGTACCGCAAAACCTGGATACCAGAGGTTGAAAGAGGTTGAAAAAGAATGGTGTCTTTTAATAGGTATGTCTAACACCAGGCAGGTCAGTAAAACAGTTCTAGAACAAATTTCGTTATTCTTTTTCCACCCTTTTCCTATCGTTTCTGGTGAAAACCAACTTGATTAACCTCAAATATCAGCTGTTACCGGGCCCTTACCCTCACATCTAGACGCAATAGAGTGTAAGGTAATCCTGGTGATGCCCTGTATTTTGCATCATTATCTATTACTCAGCTCCTGCACTGAAGCAAGCGAGGCCGCAGACTGAGCAAGCCAAATCTTCAGCTCGCCGTGAATTCCTTAGCCTCCGCAGCCTTGCACGAGCAGCCACGCTTTTGACGGCCGTGATGTATTTGTAACCACTGACTGCGCCAGCACGGTGTTTTCAGGAACAGGAAGCGGAATCCTTTAACACCTTTATGTAATGCTTTCAAAGATATTAAATTCAAGTTTCTGAGCAAGTGGTATATGTCCTCAGCGTTGCAATCCAATGGTAGTTCATCTCGCACGCTTCGCGTCTTCTTTCCCAACGGTTCTCAACGTCTTGGCTGGCTGACTGTACACTGCATTAGTCGTGGTGACCTTTCCTGCGGCTGTTCTTGGATGTGGTCACACCAGGTCAAGTCTGGAAGGTTGCGTTAAACTTGGCCGTAAATCCGTTGCATCATGAATCAGTGTTACTGAAATGCGTCATTAGTTTTGAAATGGTCATTTAACACGCGCCCCCGTGACCAGTTTAATACCATTCGTTCAGGTGAAAGGTCAACTTGCCCCTCTGACTCCTCAAGATCTCAAAAACACTGAGGCGCCTAGAGGCACCAAATTCACACAGTGGGTTGACGTCTATACAAACTCACATGTGCGCAAATTTGAGTTTTCTGAGTTATGACCATGAGGTAACATAAGGTCAAACAATGTCAAGCCCAATGTACCCTAGACCTCCTAAAGTAGCTGCCTTGAACCTAGATATCTGTTGTTCTCAACAAAAGTTCACTGGTGATCATTTGAGGTCAGTGACATCATCTGACTTTCAAAAGGTTGTGGTTACTAAAATCCTACAAAATCATTTTAATTTTTTTCCATTTGAATAAGCGGCAAGTACTAGGCGATACGCTTCTTAAAACAAAATGTTGACCAGGGTCGTTTTAGGTCAGCGATCTATTCTGACTTTTTAAAAAAATCCATGGAAGATATGTGTTGCAGTCCCTGCTTATCAATCGATTTCAAATGATCACCGGAGACTATCTCACAGCAAGATCTCCACTAAAAACGTAGGTTGACTTCGATCTCGGTCTGACCTTTATTCCTGACCCCAGGCAAATCAAATTTGTTATAATCCTATATTCAGCTGTTTTAATGCCTTGGAAATTATTCATATACGTATTTCTTCGTCATAACACTCCGCTATGACAGATTGAACGATTCCTTAGAAGTTGCCTCCCCTGACAGCCGCGGCATGACTTTAACCTGTCATAGGCCAGTGTTCTCATAACGTGTATCACATTTTCATGCCAAAAAATCCGCTATTCAATTATCTACAGCTCTGCAAAGTTTGGCGGGCTACGTCACGCCGTTCGGGAGCTTTGTCTGTAAATACGTTCGGGTCAGGGTCAAACTGTCCCGCTCCCCGCCAGACCGCGTATTAGGCTAAAGACACGTCAAGTACGCTAAAATAAACACATCAGTATCGTTGCTTGTATGCATTTCACTCTGCTTCAAGCAATCGTCTCACACGAAAGCCGTACCTGCGAGACTATCGAGTGTCATGGGATGACCTCAGGTGACGTCGGATGATCCCTCGGATATCAATGGTGGCATGCTAAACTTCCGTGGCCTTTGCTCTACTAATGTATGAAAAGGCTAACAGAGACGTAAAGCATAAGTTGTACTCGTGTCATCCACTCTGACAGGTCGACTGCAAGAAGTGCCACACAATGGCCTGAGTGAACGTTACTCAGTAAAGACGGGCGCAGCACCAGCCAAGGGTTCCGCACCCCAACTCTGAGTTATGTGCCGGAAAAGGTTGGAATTGTTGTTGTTAGCTATTGGCCAAAGTTAATCCAGCAGCAGAGAAAATAACAGGACATGCAACTGGTTACTTATATCGACTCCGGTGCTGCCAACCACAAATGTTGGCCAAGGCTTCGAGAGGTCAGGTTCCGGATGCCCCCGCCAGCGCCAGAGGGTCTGCCTAATTAACGCTATCTGGACAGCATTCTGTTGCCGTCACTCTCAACAGATCGGTTACGATCATTCGTGACCATCCCTCCGCTATCTGAGAACGTATGGAGCAGAGCATGCCCCCGTCTGACCCACTCCTGCCCCATCGGGACGCCTCCCAGCTCGACCAGCTCCTGCTTCAGCGGTGCGCATTTTCCTGACCCGCTCCGGTCCCAGTGGTGCGCTTTCGCCCTGACCCGCTCCTGCTCCAGCGGTGCGTTTTCCGCCTGACCCGCTCCTGCTCCAGCGGCGTGCTTTACCCCTGACCCGCTCCGGTCCCAGCAGCGCACTTCCCATTCCACCTCGCTCCTGCTCCAGCGGTGCACTTCCCACCCCACCCCGCTCCTGCTCCAGCGGTGCACTTTCCCCCTGACCCGCTCCGGCCCCAGCGGAGCCCGTTCCAGCCTGACTCGCTTCTGCCTCGGATGTGTGCTTCCCAGCACGCCCCGCTCCTGCACCAGCGGCGCCCGTCCCATGCTGATCCGTTCCTAGCCCAGCGGCGTCCGTCCCAGCCTGACCCGCTCCCAGCCCAGAGGCGCCCTTCCCAGCCTGATCCGTTCCCAGCCCAGCGGCGCCCGTCCCAGCCTGATCCGTTCCTAGCCCAGCGGCGCCTGTCCCAGCCTGATCCGTTCCCAGCCCAGCGGAGCCAATCCTAGCCCACCCACCGAGGCGGCCAAGCGGCCGGCTGATCAGCCGCCGGCGACGGCAGGCAGCCGGCCACGGCAGGCAGCCGGCCACGGCAGGCAGCCGGCCAGAGGTCTGTCCTCACGGGAGCTCCTGCAGTGAAGTCCACAATACTTTGGTAACGGAGAACCGTAAGTTGTCGTGGTTGGCTGTCAGCTAGAATTGATTGTTTTCTTCGCCTTGAGCCTGTCGCTCATGAATGCTGGTACGTGGTGCTGGTGCCAGTGTTCCACAGGGGCATATCAGCAGCTTCTGCGGGACTAATTGGGAGATCTGCCCCGGTTTTTTGTCATCTGCCGTCACGGGCGTAGGCTTTCCAGTTCTGGTTTAGACTGAATGCCACTAGGCAGGCCGATATTTATGGAATGAAATGGTGCATTGTACAGCATGGATTCGGTTACCAGCATGCATGCTTTTTATACCCAACTAAACTAGGATAATCCATATAGTCCTCCCATCTGGCTTGGTTTATCTTATCTTGCAATTTGAAGGAGATCACCCTTTTATGTTCATCATGTATCTGTTCTTGCCTCTGTTCCTTGCTGGATAATGATAAAGGCTCTCTGTCCAGTTGGGAGGAAAAAGCTGCATGTGACAGGGGGGGAGGGGGGGGGGGAGTCAACCTCTTTCATCGAATGGGATCCTATACTCCTGACAGGGACCGTTTTTTAAAACTAAGCTCTGCAGACATGTAGCGTAAAGAGCAGCCGGCAAGCAGGACAACAGATGACCATAAGGAATGGGAGGGCATGTTGGGTTTGTTTTCTCAGCTGTTCCCAGTAAGAGGCATTTGGCGGCGTAACACCACCAAATGGATAGCAGAGGTGATTTTCATCGTGTAGATGATGCGGAAAATATGCGAGTGCCGGTTGCAGTCTTTGGGAAACGGTATAACCTGGATGGCCAGTCGATGCCATTTACATGGCCCGACGGGTTCCCCACTGTCCCATTTCAAACTAAAGCGTTTTGTAGTTGCGAATGGTTTCAGGAAGGTGGCATTAGTGGGTTCCCGATATATTACTGACACGTCCATGGGTCGGATAGTGCGGCGATCGCTTCATGACTAGTTTGTTAAATAACTGACAGCATATTGGCCTACTTCGCACAGCAAGCTTCAATGCCCTTACCTGCCCTGGCCGTCAATATCAGACATCCATCCCTAAAAATTACCGAATGTTGACTGACCCATGGTTTGCGCATTATCGTACGTGAGATTTTCCACGTATTGACACACAGTTCAGCTAGCGAGATTGCTCCTTCATCATTATTAGTTGTTCTAGCCCCTCTGCGAGGCCTGGTGACCGAGACCTGCACTTGTTTCCGACCCACGGTCTTCAACAACTTCGCGATTCGGAAATACTGCGCTTCCCATGTTTATCTAAAGAGGAGGACATGTTGACGTTAACGTAACGTTTGCTGTGCTGCAGACATGCGCAGATTGTGCAGCAAAACGGCATACATTGAAGTGCTTGGGAAATTTAACAGCAACAAACGCAACACCTGCGTTGCTTGCTGCTGAAATTGCCACAACGTTGCGATCGCTGGTTGTACAGAAATACGCCCGCTAAAAGCAATACTGGCAGGGCAGGTTAGGCCCGGTGAAACTGCAAAATCTCCGGCCGGTTAACGTGAAGACTCCCTCGACTTGTGACCTGGAATAACATTTTGATGCAAGTTAGTATGCATGGAACGAGTTGATGGGGCCGATCCATTTAACACGAGCTGGCGCCCAAAACACGCGGTCATGCGCCGTGCGAAAGCGGTGCATAACTCAGAGTCAGCGGTGGAATTAGTTTATTATATGTGCAATGCCCGTGTGTTCCCACGACAACTCGTTCCAAAACTAATATTCGCTAGCAATCATCAGCCTACGGATATCGTACCAGTTTTCATACGTGGTGTTGCCTGATGTTGCAAATGTGATGAGACCATGTCAGGCGTGCAAGTATCAGGCGCATGGAAGCTGTGTACTCGCATCATTTTTCCGCATTGGTATCTTCGATGTCATCATGAACTCAGCTGCAGAGCATCAGACTGCTATTCAGATATATGCATGCTGACAATAACTGTCACCAAAAATCCCTATAACCGTTAGCAATCGTCATACGATGACAACACAGCCGAAACATACGGGCGCCTAAATATTGGCCACGTAAACGACTGCGACTTAACACGGTATTTGGCCGTCGCCTCCCAGAACATCCAGCTCATATTTCGGGCTTATATGTTCCCATATTGGCCGAGACTGCACCGCACAGTTATCGTGCCAAACACCAGCCATAATGGCCGGAGGATGTGGAATGTGCGTACGTGCGTCGCACGCATATCATGCAATCAGGCGGAGAGAGTTGAGTAAATCGGCAACACATATCGTGGTGCTACCTCGCCGTCAATCTGAGTACTTACATGAGGAACTATGGAATGAGGGGAACACAGATCCCCTGAAAGACTTTTGGTTTCCCGCAAACTAAATCGGCACCAATGCATGTGAAATTGTGATAGCACAATCTTTGTATTCTAACAAAATAATCTTAACATGACACAAATATTGCTACTATTTATTTCTCTACCTGTCCAACCGGCTCCCATGGGTCTCTGCCCACACCCACGCCTACCCATCCCAAACATATTGCCTACCCGTTTTTAAATTGTTGAAGTCCTACATATGATTAGTTTACCAGTTAAACTTTTGATAGATGTTTTCGATGGTCACAAATACCAGCTGTTCGCCGTAAGGCATCGCTAAAAGCGCGGCCATGCTATCTAGGTACACAGGGTCCCGATTCCGACCGCAGGGTATTCACGGCGAGACTGTAAGTCCCCAGGCCGGCTATTGGCGACTTTTGGCTTTGACAACAGCGCTGGCAGATTATGACAAAGTGGCGGGCCGTTGTGGGGATTTGCTAACATGGCCCGGCGCAGGCATCGCTGAAAAACAGCGGAGATGATCAATAGCATTCGGCGGCTCTCCAGGGAGGGCAAAGGAGGCTCGCTCCTTAACTCGGAGAGGGTTCCCTACGGCCAGGGCTTGGGCCCTGCTCTTTTTCGCGGGGAGGGGGGAGGGGTAGGCTGTTACGTGCTCTGTTACATTCAGCGCTACATGCTCCACCACCCAAGTCGATTGTTGATTTTCTGTGTCGATTTTGGCGTTGCCTTGTTTACCGAATGACATCCATGAAAGTGGCCTGCTAGTCTTCGTCTTTAATCAAACGCATTCTTGCAACACCACGATTACAAAACAGAGCGCGATTCCACCGGGGTTAGAATGAGTGTCCCTTTGAACCGGCACTCTTTAGTTTGAGGCCCTGGCCTGCATAAACTCAACCCCAACGCCATCCCCTAAGCAAACCCTGAGTGTGCCGCTGATCTCATACAGATGGCTTGGGCTAACCATCGTGGAAGGTGCTTGTGAAAGCACGGAACACACATTGACGAGCGATTGCGCTGAGCGCCACCATCCATCAATTTGATGCAATCACGCGAGCAGTTTCCAGAATCCGAACAAAGTTCAGCAGCATTTCCGAACCGCATCAACCAATGCCACCTGTGAGGACTGCGTGGTTAAACTCCTCAGAGTTTCTCGGAAAATATTTGTAAGCAGGGATCGGATTCAGTCGGTCCAGCAGCAGCCCTGTCAAACCAAGCCAAAATGCCCCCTCTGCCCAGTCAGAACGACCTTAACTGCCGTCCACTGACCAGTCTAAGGGCCTAAGCTGCCAGCCAATGACCGGTCAGAGAGTCGCGAACTGCTGCCCACCGACCTGGTAGAAGGTGTTGACCTGGAGGTCGCGCAGCAGGAAGCGCGGCGTGCCCGAGGTGGCGTTGTAGTGCAGCTGGCCGCCGGACCTCTGCACCTCCAGCACGAAGCGCTGCGGCAGGCCACCGTCGTTGCCGGGCAGACACTCCACCGTCAGCGAGCCCACGCTACTGTTGTAGGAGCTGCACTTGGTAGGCGGCTCCGGCACTCCTGCCGGCAGCACGGCCGGGTCAGCTCAACGGTCAGCTCACAGGCCATTCGGTCACAGATCGGACCACAGCCCATGCCACAGATCAGGGCGTTGTTAGGTCACAGATCCGCCGCGGACCGGGCCATATGTCAGATCACATGTCAGGTCACAGGTCAGGTCAAGGTTCAGGCCACGTGCGACATGGCGGGTCAGATCGTAGCGTAGGTAATATGTGAGGCCAGGTAACACACCAGGGCATAAATTAGGTCATCATCCAAGGCATGTGGAGTTAAGAACAGAACAGGTACGGGGCAAACGGCAAGGTTTGATTTGACCGATGAGGACAGCCCTCTTGCTAGTGACAAAACAAGGCTCGATTATACACAGCGTTTCCACTCTAACACTCTTTTTCACGCCATAATTATTTCACAGCAATCTGACAAGGACCTAATTCGGCACTAAATTTAAAATAAAAAAACGGAAAAAAATGAGCAGGACCATGGATGGGAGTCAGGGCCAGCAAACATGTTGGAACGTTTTACCACGGAGGCATTTTCGTTTTTTTACCGTGTGCCTTTTTATCATGCAATTTTACCTTGCGAAACCTTCCGATTTAGTTCCATGGATGAAATACATCAACGTAAACTTAGGAAATTTTACGCGTTTCCAGAGTAAGGTTTTCTGTCTGTTTTGTCGCCCTGACCGAAATGATGAGTTTTGTGCCCTGGTTATCTTCTTGTCCATGCATTTATAACTATATTTGAGCGGAATGCAGCGGGAAGAAACAAGCTCTTTTAACGCAAGCATTTTTAAGCAGGAACCGCGCTAGTGCTAAATCCGAGCCGCATGAAATATGAGATAAGTGAGGGTAAAATCCATTTTTGGTTATCAGGGCTATCAAAATGGACAAATAATCGAAGCATTAGTTTGGATAGCCTTGTTTTGCATTTCATAGTTTTTATATTACTCTCACCTACTTGTTTATCCGTTACCTCACGTTTTCGTTATGTCATCAGTTGGCACCGTTGTATTTAATGTGCAAACGTTCTGAGGAATTGTTACGCGATAACGCAACAAAATTGCTTTCAGAGTAGCATGATATGCCGGCGGGCAAATCATGGATTCGCCCCCTCCAGTTTATCCTATTTTTCGTCCCTTTGATAAGTTACCTTTGGAATGCAGTGGTCAAAGTTACGTACCATTCGAGAAAATAAAAGCATGGAAGTGGCTATAACATACCAACTACGTGATATAATACTGCGTGCCTTCGTGGATGCGTACGTGCGCTCGCGCGTGCGTGCGTAGGTACGTGCGTGCGCACGAGCGTGCGCACGTACGTGTGCACGGGCGGGCGGGCGTCGGTGCGTGTGTACGTTCGTTAGTTCGTTAGTGTTCACGTGCAGGCGCGCGTGTTAGCTTGCGCGCACGCGCGCGGGTTTTTGTGCGAATCTGCTATTCATGCGTGTAGTGTGTGTATGCGTGTGTCTGCTCGTGCATGTATTCCACAGCTTTCACGGCCACGGCGGTGACGCTAATTAGCAACGCAACCTGTCTCTGGCTCTCGGCGTGTCAGCAGCAACATCGAATATATATTGTATGCTGTTACACGTATTGACTATCAGTCTACACTTGACATGAGCTGAATTGCTTTCTGCATTATTTGCCGGCAACAGCTGCCAGAAATCTACCCAGAAACGTCAATGGGCTGCTGCCTGCGTGGTATTTTCGCTACTACGACCAGCTTCGTATTTTCGCTCAAGAAGTTGGGTGCATCGGACTCTGAGCTCTGCTCTGACCCAGAACAAATGTGACGTTCAGTCCGAGAGACACGAACATATCGTTCAGCATTTTCGCCTGGCTTGAAGCCGAACGCAATACCGAGCTGCGCGCTACTAATCACGCTCAGGGGAAGGCCGGTGGAAACCCCGTCCGCCGACGCCCACCCAGGCCTTCTATTTATAAGCCCATCGTGCGCCTGTCTGGCGGAGAGTGCGGCCGGGCCCGCTCTCATAACGAGCTGGGCTAATTTGTATGGTTCGTGCGCGTCACGGCTGAATGATTAATTAGTCCAATCAGTATGGTGAAGACCAGATCGGGTGCAGAGCCAGCAGCGGGAGCTGTAGGGATAGGCTGCTAGTGCACACGGCCCAATGGCGGGCGACAAGCGCCGCCGAACGCGGTACGTGGACAACAGGAATGACCAACGCCGCTGTTACGCTCAGTGGAGGCTCCGCCTGACACCTTCTTCAACCCGAAATCAGAATTGGTTTCGCATCAAATTTGGCGCACACATGACCTAGTGTTCATGACCTAGTGACCTAGTGTCCATGACGCATGACCTAGTGTTCCCCGCTGTCGGGCGGGTCTAATGCGCCGAATGACGCCGCGTGCTGGCCGCGCGTCTCCACAGACGCAAGGTGCGGGGCAAAACGGACCGCTTCATCGATCTAGGTGGACACGCCCAGCATTGGGCCGCTCTGGCGGTGGGCAAAGACAATATTTTCCCGGCAGCCCATGCGGCTCCGTGCCCGTCGTAAGCCGCGAGGCGTGGGAGTCGGGGTGGGGACAGACGACTGGCAGACTGTCACTCCAGGGCCTAGCAGCCTGGCACAGTCAGCGCTGTCTGGCTTCAGCCTGTCAACGAAAGCCTGGAGAAGCACGGACATCAGGCGATACACGCCGTTTCATCAGATGACACGCACAGCTCCATCGGATGACACGGGCAACTCCACTAATGACACAAGTAGCTCCATCAGATGGCGCACGTTGCTCCATCTGGTGACATATGCACCTTCATCAGAGTGCTGCGACTGCGGTCTCCATATTTCATATCGAAGCTTGGGTTAGTGGATAAGGAATTGAACACGAGTATAAGCTTGTCATATTAAAATTAAGCCACTTGCTTACTAATTAATCCAGCTAGAACAGCTACCATCGTGTGATATTCATGGAAAACGACAACTTTCTTGCTGCTTACGTTCATCAAAACAAATGCAAATTGACCGATTGATCAATACGATAACTGATCACTGACCGATTGTGAAGCTTGCTTTGTAGCTCAAAGCTCAGTGGCTTTGCAGCTCAGTTGTCGTACCCGTACTCCGGACCATACAGCCCCAGACACCCAGCTACTTGGCTGTGCATTTAAGTCCTATATGGTCACTTAAGCGATGCTGTTTTGTCAGTTCGCGACTGGGAAAGAGTCAGACTGGCATGAGACAGCCATGTCATGACGCTAAATGGTACGTACAAGTCTGGCAGCACGAACTAACCGATTAAGTGGGAGTATTCTAATGAAGTGATGGTTTCAGGTCTTTGAAAAAAACTGTATTTAGCAAGCACTGACATACCTGAATCAGTATACACGACAAGAGAATGGTCGGTCCCCATACAGTCCCACTATCATTCGATATAAAAAGCACTGGCAACCATTTTATTCTAAGAAAGGTATATTCCGTGATCAGCAGTGAAGTGGTGTCAGTGATGGTTCCTTCCACCGATTGGTTGATCGCAAGTAACAGTAAATCCTTGATATAAGAAAGAAAGGTTTTGAGCTTCATGTCTGAATGACTGAACGGGAATGCACGCGGAATGACGTAGCATACAGCATATCATGCAGCCTTTGCACAGCGATATTTAAGGTAGCAGAAAGCAAACGCAGAAAACGTGACCGGTTTGTTGAACACCTTAGAAACGCAAGCTTACAGAAGACGTGCATACCACCAGGAGAACGCATGACAGATAAGCAGGCAGAAATGGAGCATAGCGCAGCAAATATAAACTTTAAAACATCAATTTTAGCAGCAACTTAAGGTTATACGGACCTCAAGACATCCAAAGCTCTTCACATTCCAAATCTTCGCCCCATGTTGAACGTGCAAACTTCTTCATGTAACATGGTTTAAGCACCACTCTTAGATTATGTACGTCTATGAGGCTCAGACCATGTTTGTGGTGGCTGACGTACGGTAAGTAATATTTGCACATCATTATCTGTGCTTGACTTTGCACACTTCCGTTTTAGCCGCTTTTCTCGTATCTTGCTAGTTGCTTCAGTTTTTACTCTGCACTGCACACCGAGTGCTGGGAACTTGGGTTATTTATTCTTTTAGCATCTTTTATTGACGGCGTCTTCGCAGGTAGGGATTATTTACTCGATTCACATACCTCATTTTTCAAGTGTAATATTTATTTTACCTTCTGCGCGTTGTCCCAAATGAGGATGATCCCAGCTCAAAGCCTTGAGTATCGTCAATATAAGTTAATTTAGCATAACGTCATCTAACTAGCGTCATCTGATATATTTGAGGTCGATAGCACATTACATAGCTTTTACATCACAAAACAGTCAGTCCTCTAAGGCCTACCAGACGCATGCTTACCAACACAACTGATCGGCTGCAGCGGGAGCATACAGGTGCATGATGAACAGCTAAATATGCATATAAGCATCACACAACCCAGCGACAGCAAAACATAGCTTTGATATCCTGGTTACAGCTGAATTGATATGATGGAATGTGTGAGGACCCGCCAGCTCCGTACACGATATTCTGCCTGATACCAATCACAAAGGACCTAAGGTTACCACGCTGGAATGTGAATTCATATCATGCCTCTGGAACATGCGACTTTGCATGGAATCACCTGGGGCCAAACACGTGGAAGCCGGTTTTAACCGGACAATGATGACCTCTATGCTTACGTAGGGTTCCGCGAGCGATTGCGCAATGCGCCTTTAAAATGACTGTTTACAAGTGGTCTGGCCGAATATTCTACAAACACCTATACATAAAACGACACGCTGTTTTTGACACGGAGGGGGAGAGGGGTGATAACTGCCTACACCAAATGTCCAACGGTGATAGTTCTCATAAGGTAGCTGACAATGGCTACAAAAAGTCCTTATCGCTGGGATGTCGGAACGTTTGGCAAGATGTTGACCGGAAGCAGCATAGCGTAGATGTCTGCCATGTAACTGATGACATCACAGACTACTGAAATGTCCGCACATTTTTCAAATTTTCTGAGCGTTCTGCTCTCCTGCGGAAGTCGGCGTAATGAATGTACGGATCAGCACTGGCACCAAACAATACACTGTCTTCTTTCACATCATAAATATCACACACATACCAGAATGCTGACAGGCGTTAAGGTCAGGACATGGACCTGCCGAAACCTGTGACTGTCTAATGGCGTCTTTTCGCAAATGTTCTACCTATTCGACCATCGTGTTCTATGGTGACTTTGGTGACTTGCTCAATGGCTATCGAGTTGTAAAATGTAATAGGTTTATTGACTAGTTCTTTCAAAATCGACAGCACAGGTTATATGATTTCAACGTTTATACGCTTCCATCACAAGACCTTTGTTGGTGACGTAACGTGACGTTACATCGTATGCTTTTCAGCAAGTGGATAGCATCAAGCCCCCTAATGCATTACATAAAGAAACTTTGCATTACAACCACTAGAGGCAGCTGGCGGCTGTGCAGACCTTCCTTGCCCACATCTCGCTGACTTGACCAGCAAAGAAAACACATGCGCCACAATATGGCAAACTAACTAATCCACAGCTAAGGAAAGCTTGATGAGCGCACCCCGGGAAGTTCATGACTTGCCTCAGGAAATTGCAGATATTTGCTTTGAAACGCTGGGCTGCGGCAGGTTTATATCACAGCATACTTTCTACTCAATTACAATTGCATACAATTCATCGGAAGCCCGACGACCAGATGTCCCCAAACACAGAAGTGTCTGATCGACGCTAATGGAGTCATTTCGTGGTGTTTCGCCACCAGACTGATAATTTTGGTAAAATACGGTCGGGCCAACACAGATATCGGAGAGGAGGGGGGGGGGGGGAAGGACAGGATCCCTCGAAAACGACACAAAGCTCCACTTATGTAGCATCACCGGTGCGCTCCTGTGGACGTTTTTGACCACACGGGCTTCTGGCATAATCTTTGGACAAACAACGTCAGCAAGATGGCAATTTGACTCATCGCAAATGAGTACCAGATCTCACCTGCATAAACAAATTGTTGTGAGCTCGATGAGCCTCGGCTACTTGAGGCCAATAAAGACCATCCCATTTTAGTCTGACCTCATGGTACGCTTGTCGTATTAGTATTGTCTTCGGCTTTCTTCCTTATGCAGCGTTGGAGCATGAGGCAAATGCCATGCCGTATTTTGTAGAGCAACGTCCCTTGCTCGTACAGACTGATGTCTACGCCTTCCACTTATCACACCGTAGAGGCCGTTAACGCACGATCCAGCATGTCAGGTTAAGCCAAGTCATTTGCGTGCCACAGAAAACAACAAATGTTAACTTGGAACTGGACGACGCGTTGCTTTCTATGCCTTCTCGATGCCTTGCAATCAGTAAAATGTCGCATGCAGGCTCAGGAGGATGACCTGCTTTTTTATCTAAAATCACGTCGTCCCAGATCATTGCCACACAAATCATGCAATAATTATTGGCCTTGGACACCATTTTACCCAACGGGCATACCATTCGGCACCATTTTCCGGGGTGCATACTGCCTCTGTTGACATCACGACTTGAGCTGTGCTGATTCCTGGTGTCCAGACAACCCTTCGACCGTCAGGTCATACAAAGCGAAGCATTGTATTGTCTGACGGCACTCGGAGACGTACGCTCTGAAGGGGCTGCGTCTCCGGGCCCCGCCGGACGCGGCGGACGGGGCCCGGAGACGCACGCTCCAACGGGCTGGTCTCCGAGCTCGTCGGACCGCGGGGGCCGGGCGCCCGGACGCGCTCCAACGGGGCCCGGAGACGCACGCTCCAGCGGGGCCCGGAGACGCACGCTCCAACGGGGCCCGGAGACGCACGCTCCAACGGGGCCCGGAGACGCACGCTCCAACGGGGCCCGGAGACGCACGCTCCAACGGGGCCCGGAGACGACGCCAACGCCCATACCGAGACGACGCCCAACGGGGCCCGGAGACGCACGCCCCACGTCCGGAGACACGCTCAACGGGCCCGGAGACGCAGCTCCCGGCCGGCGGCCGCGACGCGCGGGCGGCCCGGAGACGCACGCTCTTAGACGTACCTGCCGACACGATGTGGAAGACGCAGGGGGTCTTCTGCCAGCCGATGCCGTTGCGCGCCCAGCAGAGCAGCGTGCCGTAGTCGAGCTCCGAGCGAGGTACGTATTCGGCAGTGCTGCTGGTGCCGTTCACGCTGTCCGAGAGAAGGCCGGGCTCATCGGTCCGCACAACGGCGCGCGGATGGAGACGTCGCTGCGGCCGGACGAAGCACGCGCACACAAACATCCCACGTCCAAATCAAGACGTCATGCCGACAAACTATCGAGGCGTCGGAACTCTCCGCAAAAATACACGGAGGTGGGCTCATGTGGGAACCGCGCGTGATGTGAGCTGAAACGCATACGATGGCCGCTAAAACGCCTACACGCCTGTCAGTACTGCGTGTCAGTACATCCTCTACAACTCGCAGTATTGTGAGGCTTTTTGCCAGGGTGCTGGGTCGGCGGCTGCTGAGAAGAGGTGCCCGTTTGCTGACTGTCTGCCAAAGCTTCAGTCCTGTCCAGCCGTCTGCGGACCCGTCAGTCCTATCCGGCCGTCTGCGGACGTCTCAGTCCCTATCCGGTCGTCTGCGAACTCGTCAGCCCTATCCGGCCGTCTGCGAACTCGTCAGTCCTATCCGGCCGTCTGCGGACGTCTCAGCCCTATCCGGTCGTCTGCGAACTCGTCAGTCCTATCCGGCCGTCTGCGGACGTGTCAGCCCATCCGGCTGTCTGCGGGTGTGTCAGCCCGGTCCGGACGTCTGCAGACCCGTCAGCCCTATCCGGCCGTCTGCGGACTCGTCAGCCCTATCCGGCCGTCTGCGGACACGTCAGTCCTATCCGGCCGTCTGCGGGCTCGTCAGCGCTATCCGGCCGTCTGCGGACGCGTCAGCCCGGTCCGGCGCCCGCCACTGCAGCGCAGCCACCGGCCGATCACCGGCGCAGCCTTCCGGCCTGCGTCTCATCCCCCGCGACGGCTGTGTTGGAGTGATGGATGTTGCTGTGATGCAGCCGTCGGTTAACGTGACGGATGATTAAACTTTGAGCGGGAAAACCGAGTTAGGGTGTGACGGCACCCTCCGGGTGGGCACGTGGTCGGGTCCGCTGGCCTATGGCGGGGTCAGTGGACGCACGGGCTCATATAGCAGATTACGAGTTGGAGAAAAAGCGGGCACGGGACCCACAGACATCCCTGAGCAGAGTACAGCTGCCGACACATATCGCAGCCATTACGGTCATTCCCAACTGAAATTTCGGTAATTCGTCCTAGAAAAGCTACAGTCGAACCAGCGGTTAGCCACTTCGCTCTCTTTAACGCAGGGAGAGATCGACCACATTTCATGCAGACATGATCTGTAACACGCCTATGCCTGATGTCTGCTGTCTGGCACATGCAAGCTTGGATGGTCGCATGTATCACGCGCCATTTCAGCATCAACAAACAGACATCAGTTAGATGAATTACCAGGATTACTTTGGGCTATTCCTCAGCTTTCCCCGCTGGTCTTCGAAATGTGCGTACTGTATTATGTGCCAGATATGATTGCACTGGTTTGGATAAAAGACCAGTTCAAATCTCAGCCCTAGACAGATGACTCAAACGAACTTTATTGACTCCCAAGGAAGGTGACAACAGGCTCTTAATTGACTTATTTCGACTGCTGAAGAATTTGTGCCTTACTTAAGAAAACTTTACACACGGCATGGCTATGTTTAAGTATGTTTACCTCATCGGACACTAAGACAGCACGAAATATGTGTTTTGAAACATAATATCTACACAACTGTTTGTCTTACCCGGCTAGCAAAAAAGCACTTAACGTCTGATGAAAAAACTATAGGGCTGTGGATGGCTATACACCGCTTAATTGCGCGAAGTAGTAGTCTACTGCCACAACAGGAATAGCAGCTAGGCCGAATAGCATGTTTGCCAGCCACTTCAACTAACTAACAAACTAACTTGGTGAAAAGGACGCAACAAACCATTCAGTCCGCAGGAGTGGCAATCATTACGCTTGTTATTAAATGCGGTGTTTTTTTTTTATCGAAACAAACATTTTCGCAGCATTTCCACCACGCATTTCCGACGCATTACCAGCTTGATTCAGCGCTGTCCGTTGTTAGCCAGGACCGGCGTGACTCACGTGAACTGGGCGGTCGGCAGGTGGGTGATCTCCCCCGTGTTGTTGAAGGACCAGCGGAAGGTGACCTCGGCCGGGTTAGCCTCCACCCCGCAGTGCACCAGCACGTGCTCGAACTTGGCCGCGCCGTAGATGAGCGTCTGGCCCGGAAGGCAGCGCGGCGCGTCTGGAACACGCGCGCACAGTCCGGTGTGGTCAGGTCAGGTCAGGTCAGGTCAGGCACGCATCGGAGAACACGCACTGCTTCTGCTCTCCCGCTGATGTATGCGGTTACGTATCGTAACACATTTTCAAGATGCCTCCTACATTTAGAAGGTCTTCACCGAAAAAAACACATTTTGATAACATCAATCTTTGATTCATTTTCAGAAGCCTTTCTCATGAAGGCCTATTTTTTCAAGGTCTTTTTCAAAAAGCCTCCTCCCAGCAAGCCTTTTTTGTAGGGTCCACGTTCAGAGAAGCCAGTGTTCACAGAGCTTGTTTCCACCGGTCCCACGTCCCCCGGGGCTGTGTTTAGGATACCCTCGTCAGAATATTCACCATTAGAAGGACTGTGCTCAGGAGTCCTTCGTTTATCAGGTCTAAGTTTCAAAGGCTTTTCGATATCGTCTGGTTTCGAAGGCAAAGGCCTGAGGACCTGCTACAACGATTGTATCCAAAAGACCTTTTCCCACAAACCATGTGTGCAGCATAATGTCCATGTTCAAAGGAACACCCTCCAAAAACCAGCTTTCTGGGTACTAGGTTGTCACGACCCGGCCCAAAAGGAAGAGGACCGATGAGCCAGCTCTAATTTGCCCATATTTTATATTCTTATGCCTGCAGTGTTGCGTGCGAAGCAACGTTTTTAAAGCTGGTACATCGTTAAACGTGCCAGCTCCGTACCGACAAGCGTTCTGAATACATGGCTTCCGGAAGCAGGCCTTTCGAACATAAGCCAGGTTCAAATTCGCAACGTTCGCTTCCTATACGATGGCAATGTGATCTTAAAATGGGCGTTCTTTAGACTGATATTGTAAAGACAGAAAACGATGCGTGATCATACATTTGTCACAAAAGGCTGTCTGTCCGTATAGGCTTTCTGAACGCAAACGTTCTGAATGAAACCTCTTGAAAGTCTTTTGAAGACAGGTTTTCTGAACGTAGGCATTCTGACAACAGGACTTTGGAGCATACCGAATCCTCGCCGCCACCCTCCGCCTTCGGAAAATATACTGTCATGATTGTAGGACTTATCACAAGGAAAATATACATTCAAAATGTCAAGAACAAGAATAAGCATTGCATGTTGTGAGGCATACTTGCATGCATGATTTGTAACCACACATATGAAGTAGAGTCACGCATGACACTTTTTTACAGCTGCATCACTTAACCGCCACCTTCTAAATCGCCACGTCCAACACGCTCTTGCGGGTTGACTATCGGTGGCTGCGCCGCGTGCTGGGCAGATGAGTCGGGGGGGGGGGGGGGGGGGGCGAGGGTCGGGGTGTGGCGGGAGCAGCGGCGGTGCCGTCACTCCCGGCAGTGGTCTCGTGGCCGTAAACCACAAACTGCCGGCTGATTGCGACCGCCGGCCGCTGGCGGCGTCGTAAAGCCCGGCCACAGCCCGCCGGCCGGCGGCGGACAGCTCTGTCCGTCCACCTCCGCCGCCGGCCGCCCGCCAGTCACGGGCCACAAACTCCGGTTAGGCGCGCACGGCGCTGCGTAAGCACCGCGGACGCCGCCGGCCGGCAGACGGCCCCCAGATGCCGCATGAGAATTGACTGCTTAATGAACATAATATGCATGGTCGAACCGGATGGCCTCCAATTCCAGTCCGGCTCCTGTCGAGACGACAGGCACCCCTTGTCTGTGACGGACGTACTTTCGGCATTGTGGGCTGCGGACTCTTAGCGGCAGACGAGCTCTGAGACAATAGGCACCGTCTCTGGGAGACGTACAGACTCGAGACTAAGGGCACATTACCCAGTTTTGCAACTCTGAGAAGGCGAAACAAAACTCTGAGCAGTCGACAAGCGCTGTGTCGGTGGGCGCCGATCTTTGTCCGTAGAGTGTTTACAACAACAAAAACACGATAGTTCTGCCAAGTAGAAACGCCGCTCTTTGGCTCCTCAGCCCATTACAAAAATAAGCGTAGAAAATCCACTGGTTTGACGTTTAGGCCGCGTGCAGGCCCATTTTTAACAAGAACCAGCGACTTCTGACATTGTCTTCACCATCATCTTATGCTGGTGTTAGCTATAGTGTAAAACCGGAAGCCCGGTAGAACCCAGGTGGAGTCGACTGGGTGCGGGAGGGATATGAGGATCTGGGGAGGGGCTGGCGTCGCTCCCCAGGCCCCAGCAACTAAAGCCGAATAGAAATGAGATCCGCAAGCCCAGCTCGTTAAAGTTCGCTGTGGAGTCCGGATGGAAATGAAAATATGGCAGCTGGTCTGGCAGGTGCGACCTCCATAGCCACGACAAGGACAAGGGATATGTCCGTCACAGCGGCGGAACAGGTAGGGCATATGTCCGTCACAGCGGCGGAACAGGTAGGGAATATGTTTGTCACAGCGGCGGAACAGGTAGGAATATGTTTGTCACAGCGGCGGAACAGGTAGGGCATATGTCCGTCACAGCGGCGGAACAGGTAGGGCATATGTTTGTCACAGCGGCGGAGCAGGTGGGCATATGTCCGTCACAGCAGCGGAACAGGTAGGGCATATGTCCGTCACAGCGGCGGAACAGGTAGGGCATATGTCCGTCACAGCGGCGGAACAGGCAGGGCATATGTTTGTTACAGCGGCGGAACAGGTAGGGCATATGTCCGTCACAGCGGCGGAACAGGAGGATCTGTTGTTACGCTGCGGAACAGGGGCGTAGTCGTCACAGCGGGGAAATTGGGCTATGCCGTCACAGCGCGGAACAGAGTTAGTGGCGCATAGGGAGTCACAGCTGCGGAACAGTTAGGGCATATGTCCGTCACAGCGGCGGAACAGGTAGGGCGTATGTCCGTCACAGCGGCGGAACAGTTAGGGCATATGTCCGTCACAGCAGTGGAACGGGCGGGGGATATGTCCGCCACAAGGGAGGGAGACAGTTGGAAAGTTACCACCTCTCGCAACTCGTGCTTGATTTGTTTCTAATAAAGAAGATTCGGCTGTCACAATACATAACAAATCTTTACATTCTGCATCCAATGCTTGCACGATGCGTAACCCTTAACACATCGTGTCGCAGCATGGCATGACAAAATTGAAACCATTTGAAGCATCTATTTCGTATTAATGCTCCTTCGTTGCAGAGCTCTTCTCTCGAAAGCCCGTTTCACATCGGTTCCGTGACTGATATGGACCACCACAACGCAAAGGTTCTATGCAATATTATCTGCGCAAAAGTTTGCAAGGGAAGTACGAACCTCATACCTTCCGGATGTACTTGTTTGCCGATTCTTGTATTTATGCCGGATGCATTTTTTTCTTCTGGCCGCCTCCGTAACAACTCTTCAATGCTACGCTGAGCGACTAAAATTCCCTACGATTGATGGAGTACGAATAGGACTGTCGTGGCTTTAGCCGTGCGAAGGGAGTGAGATTGTGTCCTTTGTCGTGTGAACTATGAACGAGGAAGATTTGCTTCTGCTGCCGCATTTGGAAACGAAGGAGAAGAACCGCGGGAGAAGAGCACGAGTGCGAGAGTCAATGCCACGACCCGGGTTGAAGGGAGGCTTTATCACATCACAACGATCGCACATTTCTTAAGGAATGTAAGTATTGACCGTACGGCAGCAGGAAGAAAGACTATACAGCCTTTTATAAAAAGCACTGCCTATCCGGCCAAAAATGGGCATTGGAACCTTGGTAGAAATGGCATACTTCAGCTCATTTCAAAGGTGTGTTTGACCTGGAATATACCCGCGGCGCATGAGCGACGTACGGTGCGCAGTCTGGTGTGAATTTTTCTATTCTCATCCGGTCCGCATTGTTGCAGAAGTGCAGAGGGGTTATCAACGCTCCTGCGAATGAGCAGCTCCCAGGCACCTCACACCGTTACGAACAGCCGTCTTTCCGGAATCGCTGCCGTATCATTACGTAGTCGGTGTGAGCCCAAATGTGAAGACATTGAAGCCAGTATTTGATATCATGACATGGGCTCACTATGACTGTTGGTATAGCTTGAAGTGGAAAAGACTGCTCTGGAAAACACGATTTCTCTATCTAGTGAATATACTCCGCAATACACCATTGTTTGATTGCATCATCTTGGCTTGCAAAACATTGATTGAGAGCCAGTTGGCGACCGTTATACCTGGAAATTGTGCTCACCAATGCCAGATATAAGTTATAGCGACATGAGCACCCAGCTGCCCTTGAAGTAGTCCCCCAAAATTGTCCACACATCTTCACGGGCGTGTTGATGAGAACCTAACGGGGTTAGGTCTTAGGAAGGGCAGGGCTACAAACGGTACCGAATGATCTTCAAGATGGCCATTTTGCTCAAGACCTCATACAAATATAAAACACTCTCTTTAAGAAGGTCTGGATCCCAAGAGTCATTTTGTCAAAAGCCAAAGGTATCGCTGCAAAAACGTCGATCACACTTTAAAAGCAGTAAAAACGAATGCGATTCAAAACCCAATTATCAGAGTGCTTGGTTATCTTGGGCGCTGACTGGCTGGACAGAATTCCTGTTAGAATCGAAGCTATTCAACCCCTAACCACGGTCGGAAACAATCCACCAACCTCCGCGAGGAAGTGCGGCTCGTTCCCAGTACCAACTCGAGCGGGGTGAAGGGTAGGTTATCCCGCCGTGCAGTACGGCCGGCGGGCCAGCCTACCACCGCAGTGGCGATCGTGTCAGAGACGCGTCGCAACTGGCCGGTTCGGCGCGCCGCCCATGGCTAAGGCGGCCACAAACCTTGATCAGCGCTTATTGCAGGCCAGCCTCTGCAGCGGCTTTGTCAACTTTCTTGATTGTGAGAATTCCGAAGAACAGTCGGAAGGTTGGCTGAATTTGTGTCGGGAGGAACACCCGAACTCGGGTGATAAACTCGCGCCACTCTGGACCGCCGTAGGAAGTGTTGTAAATTAACAAGTTCCTCGGAAGCTGCATGGTTACTTTGCGACGCAATAACTTTTAGGGCCAGCGCCGCCATCATAGCGGCGCAATTACGCTCGAATAGGAATTTGTCTTCCGTGAAAAATACCATCCGAATAGCAGGCGGGCCTAGACCGTGTATAGGGCGCAGAGCTGTACTAGAGAGTCCAGGAGCGGTTTTAATGTTTCGTTTTCACCCCAAACTCGCAAGCTATACATTTACTGTATACGTAGGAGCTGAAGGAGGACGTCCATGGGGCTGCAATGAATAACCAAAAAAAGCATAGATGTCCGTGCCGTTAACCCAGAAGTTTAGAGTGCCTGGCCTTGAGATTAACCAACCGTAGTGGGGTAGGTTCGAGGCTCTTTAGGCGCTCGCTGTGTGCCCCTGACGAAAATGACCTACGGCCGGTTAGAATGCCCGGATTAATGGTTAGGTGACGACAGACAGCAGGGGCGAACCGTGTCGAACAATGCGATAGGTTGATCCTCGCCCTCATTCGCAGTTTTTTTCCCCAACGCGTGCTAATAGTGGGGTTGGGTCGATCAGATCTACTGGGACTTCCAAACTAAGATGTATTGAGCCCCGTGGAAAACAACAGTAGATAAGTCGCAATAGTTGGATGCTGCTAGATCAAAAATTGATCTCATTATGCCTTGTCAGAGGCAAAATTATCCTGAGAATGGAACTCTTACAGCTTAACATGCTCAGATGTACGCGACCATGCCTCGTAGCGACACCAAGCCTAAATAAGCCACCAAGCCACCACGTTCCTCGTTTAATATTGAGTACACAGGCAGGCGGTGCTATGTACTTAAAGCATACATGTAAAATGTATCACTCTGTTAATGTCACAGTGTCGGCCGGCAGCCAGTCTGGCCGGGCATCACTGCTTGCAGCCCGCCGCCCGCTCCAGCCGTAGATCTTCGTGCAATATTCTTCAGCATATCACCGCTCCAGTGCCTCTGCAAACCGCCGCTACGCCGAAACCAGAAACGACAGCGATACGTTTTTGGTGTCACAACACACGCAATGAATGCTCCACAGGCCGCTGAGAATTTGGCGCGTTTGCATGATATGTCGGAAAGGTATCCCCAGAATTTCGTTTGGGGGGAAGGTCGCATCGACCCATCCATTATCTTCTTATCAAGGTCAGAGTCAATGCTGAGCTTCCATCAATGTTACGGAGTCGGCCCCCGGCGCGCGGTCTGCATACTCATCGGCTGCCGAATGCTGCCGGCGCTGGCTGTGGACTACCGTTCAGTGTTCGTAAAAAAGCTGTCGGTTCTCAGAAACCAGAAAAGCTGACGACACGTTTTTGGTTTCCAAACACGCGCAATGGATTTCCTGGAGGTCACCAAGGCTTTAGGTGCGATTACACATCAAGCCAGAGATATACGCTCAGAAAAACTTACGGGGGAGGCGTCGCATCGACCCTTTCCCGTATGCGGGCAATGGTTAAACTTTTGCCGTACAGTTCTGCCGTTTATCCGGATCGGCCGGATCAAATTGAACCGGATCAGATCGGACGGATTGGACTTGGCATTGCTGTCGGACGGATCAAATCGATAAGGTCCAACGGTGGGGTGACGCTCACGCAACAAGCACTGGTCAGTGTCGACGCTGATCGTGGGAATTCATTGAGTTAAAACATTCGGACTTTAACTTGAAAAAGATAAAAGGTACATCCTAAGTTTAGGTTTGCTATTACCATCAGCCGTGACTACCTTCCTTGATATAAACTGATGTATATATATATATATATATATATATATATATATATATATATATATTATACTTCACATGACACATTAACTCCTATATTTCACATATATAAGAAACGCATACATGCATTGGCGTCAACACAAACACACACACATATGTATATATATATATATATATATATATATATATATACATTAACATTTATAAAACAAGTTTTGTATCCATTGTTGGTTGTGAATGTGCCTAGATTTAGCTGACATGAAAGGTTTGAAGCAATCTGGTCCAGGTCAAGTCAAAATGAGATAAAAAACAAAGAGTTGCTGCTGCCATGTTACGGCTATAACTCTGCACTCCTTGTGTGGGCTTCAGCGACGTTGTTTACCCGTCAAAGGACCAGTAATTAAATCGCAAAGCCATCATCCGCTCAGCAGCGTTTTTTTTCATTACATCGCAAGCAACCCCATGAGTCACCAAAGCGAGGCCGCCTTTAGAATCAGCAGGAGAAGCCTCAGCTCTTGTTATTTCAAACAGACAGCAAGTGTTTGGCTGGTTGAATGCTTTAAAGAAATGCCATTTTCTTAAGAGATATTTGGACGTTGTGCAGGCTCAGCTTTGAGCTGAGATGTCAAGCGCACAAATCACAAAAGATTATTACGCACTACAAATATCCCGCTGACCATCGCGATTATCAGCCATGACCTGCCCGTCTGGCGTGGCCCTGGATGTCTGTGGGCAGTTCGGTTTAACTGATAGTGGCTACAGTGGGTCTGTCTCTTAGACAGGACTTTGGACTTCGAAATGTCATCTTTGTTCAAAGTAATATTTTGAAACTGAGAATGCACATTTTTTTTTCACCCAGCCGTTTTCCTTGTTTTGTCAGGGATGTGAATCACACTACTTCATGTCATACGAGACTGCCGGTTATTTGCTCCCTGTTGCCTGTGCTCTAATTGTACAATTCTGTCAAAGTTCATTAGGTCATGTTTGCTTATCAAACACGGTACCCTGTTGTTCATTAACTTTATTTATTCAGCCCTGAAGATGGCTCGTGGTGGAATGGTACCCTACCTGCCTGTGCTACTTTCGGGCGCCTTCTGCTGAAATCAACGCTGGGGTGAAATATTTATGTTACGTCTCAAAAGAGCCTCTCGCCATTTGCTCCTCCTTAAAGGACGTTAAATTCATCCTCACAAGGGCTAAGATATCTTCGAGAGGTAGCCAGCAGCTCCCGTCATAAATTTGGTGGGACCTAGCATCTGCCCTTCCAAACTTTGCAGAGAAATTCAAGTATTAAATATTGTACGCTGCATGGGAAACAAATTAGATTTTAGCAGTTCCCCCCCCCCCCCTCCCTCAGCTTGGTGAGTTTTGTATCCCTAAAATCTCTACAAAAAAACCGCCAGGAGCGGCATAACCGGTATAGCGGGAAGGAGAGGCACATATCCCTCTATACTTTTAGACTTTGGCATGGAACCTCCCCCCCCCTGCCCCCACCCACCCCCTACCCCACCCCCAGCATCGGCCGCTGGCGCCGCCGCTGGCTGCAGGTCATCTCCACCACCACAGCTGGCGACCACGTGCGGTCCCCCGGCGAGCGGGTCCGGGCTCCGACTTACATTTGACAGGCAGGAAGAGCGCGTTGCTGACACCCTGGCCCTCGTCGTTCGTGGCGGCGCAGGTGTACATGCCGGAGCGCTGCCTCGACAGGTCCTGCAGCGCCAGGCTCTGGTTGATCATGATGACGCCGGCCGCCTGGCTGTGCACCAGCGGACGGTCCTGCCGGCAGGCCACAGCTCGTCCAATGATGCCGACACACTCCTCAGCTGCTGACAAGTGAACTCGGCGCAGTGGACGGAGCGTGCGGCTAGTCGGCATCCTTCACCGTCGGCGCTATAAGGAGGTGAGCATCACATGCCATCGCAGTTTGGGAAGTCAGTGTGTATGTCAGTGAAGTCAGCTACGCTCACATAACGAGCACTGCTTAGCGTGAGCGCTGATCCCAGAAATCCATCTATTCAAAGGATTCGGATAACATTTAAAAAAAACTCAGCCAAGGATTACGACTTCACCAAAGAGCAAAATCAAAACGTTTAAGCATATATCTTGGACGTGCGCATGCGAGCTGGCGGTCGACCCGTGACGTCATCCGTGAGCCCGGCGCGGTCCCATCGGGTCGTCTCTGCCACACACTCCCGTCCCTCCGCTTATACGACAACACAGTCACAATACGGGCGCCCCGGGGAGCCCGTCGTCATGGAGTGATTGTGGGCAGAACAGTCCCCAGTCCCCAGCGGGCAGTAAGCCCGTCACCACAGCCGCACAGACCCGGACCGCCCGGCACTAGGGCCCCGTCGCCGGGTGTTGACCGACAGCGAGGGGCCAGTCGGCCGGGGCGGCGCGCGGCGGCGACGGCCGGCGGTACTCACGTCCAGACGCCACTCGATGCTGTACACCCACGGTACGGCGCTGATGTGGCACTCGAAGTACACGTCATCGCCCTCCTCGATGTCCGAGAGCTGCAGCGTGCGGCCAGCCGTCAGCCGCACCACCGGCCGGTCTGCAACCCGGCCAGACCAAGTCAGGTGAGCGTCTACTCACCTAGGCTGGGGCACGCCGGGTCAGACCAGGTCAGGTAAACGTCTACTCACCTAGGCTGGAGCACGCCGGGTCAGAGTGAGCACGCGTGGTGGGTAGCCTGTGAGGTACGCGGAGAGCGGCCACACATGGGTGCTGTGCGCACGGCCGCCGTGGGGTGCCCGGAGCACGACCAGGGGCCGTTTGCCCGGGCCCATGGCCCGCGCCGACAGCTGGGGTAATGCATGGGACGTGGCGTCTGCGGGGGGCGCCGGATTCACCGCTCAGACGCCGTCTAAATCACCGGCCAGAGCGCGGCACGAGCGTGGAGCGAGGGTCCGGGGAGGGGAGGGGGGAGGGGATTCAGATGGGCCCGTATGGGACGGCGGCGGCCCACCGTATCTATCGCCGCCAGGACGAACTGGCTGCCCGTTATTTGGCTCTCCATCTGGATGACATAACTTGTGCGTTTTACTTCATTGCTCCAACCGACTGATTTATTTCCAAAAGCTACTTCCAAATCTGAATTACGAGATTTAATAAATGACCGGCTCAGAAGCGGGCGGTGGCGGCGGCTGCCGCCGGGCAGCCCTCGATCGGCGCGGCTGGCGGCCGACAGCGGAGGGAGGGGGGGGGGGGGCTGCCCCATCGATATGTCGACGATCAGTGAGAGGATTCCCGGACGGGGCAGTCGCCGCTGGAGACGCAGTGGATGCGCGAGGATAAGGCCACATCAGCTGAACACTTCGGGGAGACTGGTGATGTATGCTCGGATGGCTGGAGATCTGGGGCACAGCACTGTCCCCAGGTTAAACAAAAGGGACCATATGACGTGGTCCTTAAACGAAACAATGGTCTTTTTCAGGCACTGAGATCCTCTAAATCCACCCAGGCACCAAAACCAGACAGGTTCATCACTAGCAGGTGCCATCACGCCCATCTGGCTGCACCGCTCCGCGACGTCATTTAGGAGCACATAAGGCAGATGGCTACACTGCAGGCACGACCCCTCCCCTCCGCACCCAAGACCGGTGTGGCGATTGAACGCGCTCTCGCGGGCTGCTCGTGCGCTAGGAGCCCGTCAGAGCGGCAAGAACGCTCGTTCCACGAGACACTGCCTGCGTGCTAGAAGCACATCCGAACGGCAAGAACGTTCGCTCCAGCAGCCTGGGCAGACGACTACACTGCAGGCACGACATTTCCCGTCCGCCCTCAAGACCGATGTGGCGATTGAACGCGATCTCGCAGGCTGCTAGCGCGCTAGGAGCCCGTCAGAGCGGCAAGAACGCTCGATCCAGGAGAAACTGCCTGCGAGCTAGGAGCACGTCAGAGTGGCAAGAACGCTCGCTCCAGGAGAGACTGCCTGCGAGCTAGGAGCCCGTCAGGGCGGCAAAAAACGCTCGATCTAGGAGAAACTGCCTGCGGGCTAGGAGCACGTCCGAGCAGCAAGAATGCTCGCTCCAGCAGCCTGGGAGCTAGGAGCTCCCGCAGAGACCACCGGCGTTCCTGAAGGCAGTCTTAGCGGCGCTCCACCTGACAGCTAGTCCATCTTAATCGCTCCGCCGGCGGTGGTGGGGAGTGGCAGCCCTTCTCCCCTGGGACGGGCGAGTGGAGGGAGAGAGAGCAGGGTTTCCCACAGCACATCGGAGAAGAGCGGTGGGAATGCCGAAACTGGCCTTCGCGTGTCTGACAGCAGACCTGCTGATGACCCAGGCTTTCCGAGGGCGTGGGCGGGACGGTAACGGGCGCCTCGGACCTCCGGCGCAGTCAGCGGCAGGGGTGACGCCCTCAGCACAGCTCGAGGTCAGAGTCCGGATTCAAGTCGGACGCACTACACAGACCGCTCTAACCGTCGTAAAGATTGCGCTGGGACGCTGTTGAACCACATCGAGTGTCCATCGATAACCTGGCGATGTCGCAGCAAGCGGCCACCAAACCTAACCATATGGATTCCACACGCCCGCGGGCACAGAAGTCGCAACACGGCTCCGAGTCCCAGCTCGAGAATGACGCATGATGCGACACCGCATGATGCAGCCTAGGGCTGCGGCAAGGGCCTGCAGTGTTGCTGCTTTGGTAAACTGGCCACGACTCGATACCTCCGTAAAAATCTGACGGCAAAGCTTCGGCTGCAATGCAGCTGCATAGCAACAGAACCAGCAGGTGCATACCTATTCGGTTTGTCGGATGACGCCACATACGAACAGTGTTGAAGGTCACTGACGTACTTACAGTTGACTTTAAGCGTGATGGAATCCTCCAGTCTGGTGCCGGGCACGGCCGGGCTAAATGCTCGGCAATAAATCACTTCACCCGAATCCTCAGCAGATGGCAGCACGCGCAGCGTGGATGACGTCACGTTATTTCCATGCGATCTCTGTGAAGGATTGCACATGATCACATACATAATCACCAAAACAAATATCAACCACCAGAGAATTGCACTTCTAACACTTAGAGATTAGTGGAAACATATTGATGATCCCTTTAAAGATAACGACAAATGAGGATTGTCCTGTAAGATTAACAAGCGTGAGAGAGCAGCGTGCCATACCGTGTATTTTACAGTGTGCGTTTTCAACATAATATACTCATGACGTTATACCAGAGCGTTGCAATGAAACTGCTGGTCTCTTTCGGGAAGCTCTAAATAAAATAACCGTTTAAGCTGGTCAAGATGCGTAAAAGTAATACACGGAACGCAGTTAGACAATGGTTGAGTCCGCTGTTCAACTCCGCGTGTTACATTGGTTGGACAACTAAGCTTGGAGCTTGTTCCGCACAGCGCCAACCAATCACGGCTGCTTGGGATTTCATCCCTTCAACCCTTTTTCGCCCACAGAGGTGCAATATTTCTTTGACAGCGCCCTACCCCGGCAATCTCCGTGAGCATCATTAATCATCTCCGACAAAAGCGGCTCCCCGTCGAAAAAGCCGACTCTCGGGCGGCACACCGGGCGGCCGGGTCCGCGTCCCGGGGCGCCGCGGTCCGCCCTCGTTGGCGAGCTGTGAGTGGAAGCGGGCGGTTCCGCGACCGCCGGCTCGGACGATCCGTCTGCCGGCAGGCTGGCTGGAGGCCCGTACCGGATCCCGCCCCGGGGCTCTCTGGGTCAGATGCGGAGGCATCACCGGCACCTCCCGTCAGCACCGCGGCCGTATAGTGCGGGGCAAACGGCACAGGCCGGCGCTCTAGGACGACGGGCGCCGGTTGCGTGACGTGTAGCGGCACCTCGCGTTTGGTGTGTGCACGGAAGGCTGCAGTGCGTACAGACTTATGAAACTCGCCTCAATTACATAAGGCGGACACAAATTCCTATTTGACGCCTGGCTTGAGTTCAGATGCATGTGCAGCCCCAGATGCTTTGCCTGTTCTGCTCCGCTAGCCAGAGAAAGATGAGCAGGCGAGGCAAGAAATAAAAACTAGGGGTTTTTGGTCACCATGATCACAAACCGCTCATAAACGCTTTGCAGTTGCTGCTGTGGTGTGCGCAACGTTATCTCAGGGAGTTCCGGTACACAGCAATGCGTCGCCTTGATTTCCGTTCCTGTGACATTACGGTATGCGGTTGTCTTCCGCGAGCGCCGACTTAATTTGACTGTCTGCGAACCATTTTGTTCTTATCTGTTGCGGGAAGGACAGATTCCTAACAAGCAGCGAATGTTTACTAGATAAACATCCAGGTTAATCTGGCGTATATTTATTACGGGTAGAGAAGCGAAAATGTTGCGACAACCATGCTTGGCCATATATATATATATATATATATATATATATATATATATATATATATATATATATGTATGTTGCATCTGAGACATGTTTTTGGGCACAGAAGCAATTGAGTTTAAGACTACAATCGATTCCATTGACCTTGGGTGAGGTATGAGGTCAGACTGAGGCCTATGCGACCTCGCTTTTACCCAAGAGTTTCTGTATGTAGTAGTTGCTGGTGCTCATTTGAGACTCATCAATAGCAGGTCTCGCAACATTATTTTTATGGATATTTTAGAGGTTAGAATAGGGCATTAAAATGACCTGAAATGCTATTAACCTAAAAGGACCAATTCCAGCATTGCGTTTTCAGAGCACATACCGTCTTGCATAATTATTGACGCTTATTGAAATGTAAAAATGACAGCAATTTTGTCGCATTTTGGTCACAATTATCTTTTTAAGGTCAGTCAAGGCCATTGAACTTAAATACACACCAGTGACCTGTTGCTTAAAACAAGTATCTAGGTTCGAGGCGGTTGCACTAAAATGTATGGGGACACTTTGGATACCAATGTGAGGTTTGACGTTTTGGTCCTCATTTGACCCGAAGATTATAATCTAGATATCTCAGACTTTGGCACATATCATTTGGCAACCAGGCTAATCCAACCTGTGAACTTGATGTTTCTAGCTTTCTTAATTTTTAAGATCTCATGAGAGGAGGGGAATCGACTTAAACCCAGCGAAGTGTGTTTAACCGGCCACCCGAGCGCGTGTTAATCTAGCATGCATAACGTGATACAACTGCAAAGGTTGCCCTTTCATCAGTAAGTTTCTTTTCGTTTCGTAAGGTCCTTTTTCCTTTTGCAATTTACATCCGCTATCGTTGCAGTTGAATTGTGCTGTATGCCTAGGAGACAGCAAAAGGGATCGAAAAAAGATGTTTCCATTACGATGGAAAATTGCAACACCTCAAGCTAAGTTATTGCCGTTTGTTTTTCAAACGCATGCTCTCAGCCTCACACGGCAGACATTGTACATATATTATCTCTTTCGTATAAATGTGCAATACCTGTTTACAATATGAACTATTTATATTATTCAAGGTAGTTTTCTTGATTTCTTAGGCCAGTACGATAAAACATATATTTCAAACATGGTAAGAGGTGGGCCAAAGTGGACAGAGGAAACTTTCACAAATTCATCTAAAGGGAAACGGGACTCCGCTGTTATTTGAATCACAAACACATCATCTAGATCACCCTCAGTTTCTTCGCTAGGGGCGCTCCAGCTGCTGTCGCAGGTGACAATTCCGAAATAGCACGTGTCTTCCACATGACCTGGTGATGTTCTGAGCTCGGCGCCTGGTGACGCTCCGAGATCGGCGCCTGGTGACACTACGAGATCAGCGTCTGGTGACGCTCCGAGATCGGCGCCTGGTGACGCCCCGAGATCGGCGCATGGTGACGCTCCGAGATCAGCGGCTGGGGACACTCCAAGACCGGCGCCTGGTGACGCTCCGAGATCGGCGCCTGGTGACGCTCCGAGATCAGCGGCTGGTGACACTCCGAGATCGGCGCCTGGTGACGCTCCGAGATCGGCGCCTGGTGACGCTCCGAGATCGGCGCATGGTGACGCTCCGAGATCAGCGGCTGGTGACGCTCCGAGATCGGCGCCTGGTGACGCTCCGAGATCGGCGCCTGGTGACGCTCCGAGATCGGCGCCTGGCGACGCTCCGAGATCAGCGCCGTCTCTGTTAATGCCGGTTCCGCTGGCCGTCGTGGCCCGCAGCGGCCAGAACTGATGGTGTCGACAAAAACGATCCGGCGGTGGGGAAATGGTGCGCGAGGAGCCGTCAGTGACTGTCGTTACCCGCTCCCGGCCGGCTCGGTGGGGCGGGGACCCGCCGACCATGACCTTCCGTCGGTGACTGTCGTTAGCGGCCCCCGACCAGCGCGGCGGGGTGGGGCCGGCCAGTCATGACCTGCCGTCAGCGGCTGTCGTTACCAGCCCACGACCGGCGGCGAACGGCCCCAGCAGCGGGAGATGGCTCAAGCCGACGCGGCGGAGCGGGGGCCGGCGGCCCGTGACCTGATGCTCGGGGTAGAGCGAGGGCCACCCCACACTCCGTCCCCCCCCCCCCCCCGCCCGGCGCCGGCCCAGCCCAGGACGAGTATCTTACCGTCAGTGTGCCGGAGAGGACGGCACCGTTCCGTGACCACGTGACCACCGGCTGGGGTCGTGACCCGGTGACCTGGCAGGTCAGATCCAGCGGCTTGTTGGCCGACACAGACGCCTTCTTGTCGTTGGTGATCCGCACGTCCACGGGAGGAACTGGTGATCAGCCATAAATTAGGTGAACTTGAGTTCATCCCTAGTCCGACCCAAAACAGCCCCACCACACCCCACATATACTCACCCTAATACCCTTACTCATACAACATTGCATTCAGAGCAGATGAATACGACCACATACTGCATTCCAGATATTTGAACAAGGCCGTCCTACGCACGCTCACTTCAGCAGAGGAACCTCGGCTTCCAGGTCTTTCCCCCTCCCCCCCCCCGCTCGGCCGGTGCCCCCTCCCCTGTGTGCCCATTCCAGCAGAGGCATCTCAGGGTGCAGTCCTTGCTCCAGATGGGCCCGTGGCCGTCCCACGTGTGCCCATCCCAACAGATGTATCTCAGGGTGCGGCCCTTGCTCCAGCCCGGCCCGTGGCCGTCCCACGTGCGCTCATCCCAGCAGAGGTATCTCAGGGTGCGGTCCTTGCTCCAGCCCGACCCGTGGCCGTCCCACGTGCGCTCATCCCAGCAGAGGTATCTCAGGGTGCAGTCCTTGCCCCACCTGTGCCCGTGGCCGTCCCACGTGTGCCCATCCCAGCAGAGGTATCTCAGGGTTTGGTTCCTCGCCCCAGTCCGGTCCGTGTCCCTCATGGCGAGCACTCACAGCTGATGTCGAGCCGGGCGGCGGCCGCCTTGTGGGGCCGCAGCGGCGTGTTGCCCGCCATGCAGGTGTAGAGGTTGGCCAGGTCGGCGCGTCGCAGGCCGGTCACCTCCAGCGTGTTCCTGGTGACCCCGGCGTCATGGCGCCACGAGGAGTCCACCAGCGAGCCCTCCAGCCACCAGGTGACGTTCGGCGGCGGCCGACCTGCAGCCAGGATGCGATGCGTGACGTCACAGTGTGGTGACGTAATATTGTCACCGTCACCACGCCCAGTTCGGATGGTGTGGTGCAGCCCGGTAATGTCTTCATCAGCTGGCAACTGAATGGCTGCACGCGTGCGTGTACAGAACAGTGGCAGCCTCCCTCAGTATTCTCTTGAGCACCTCGGTAACCAGTAAAGGTAGTGGTTCACATTTGAAGATACTGAATCAAACATCTATATGATCCGTGTTATATACGCAACGTGTATACATGTGTTTGATGAAATTAGCTCACTTATATTTATTGATGCACTTTCAATGGGAAAATCTGCTCAAGACAGCACCATTTTTGTAATTAGTCAGTCTGCTACTCAGTGCGTAATTTTTTGGTTGCATCACCATACCATGCACAGCATTGATTTAAGGGGGTGATCCACATTTATACGAGATTTTAAACTGAAAATGACATCTTGAAAACCTTTCGGTGTTGTTCGCAGTCCTGCCGTTTATAAGACCTAAGCCCCTCTGGTTTCTGAGCTATACGCCCGCGAAAATGGGAAGAGGTTTATCAGTGAGAGTATTTCCAAGTCACCTCGGCATTCATGACGTCGTGATAACGTCGCTAAAATCCTGCCATGACATAAGCCATGCGGCGATCACGGGCAAAAAGAGATTGTCGGGGTGTTCATATCTGGCGTTCCTGAGCGCGATTTCCATGTATAACGGTCGTCAATTAGCTCTCAATTAATGTTGCGAGGTACATAATCAAACCATGACGCACTGAGAAGGACACAAAACAGAGAAATGTGCTTTTTGCAGCAGTCTTTTCCACTTAAAGATTGAACTTATAGTTATAAGTAAGGTTGTTTTAACATATATGATGCTTGTTTTACGGTATCAAAATGTGAAACATCCCTTTAAAAGCCAATTGACGGCCATTATGTCTGGAAATCGGGCTCATGGAAGTCAGATTTGAACGACTCGACAATTATATTTGTTTTGGCCTTGATCGCCACATGACTAATAGAACGACAGCGTTTAAATGACGTCATTATAGCGTCATGGATGTCCAAGTGACTTCGAAATACTCCCCCCTACGTATTTTGCACATCTTTGTGAGCGCGTAGTTCAAAAACTAGAGGGGTTTAGGTCTTAAGAAGGGTAGGGCTGTGAACTGCACCAAATGATCTTAAAGATCACTAGTTCAGTTGAGAACTCTTACAAATATAGAAGACTACCTTGAACTTTTTTGTTAATTTTTCCGTTATGAAATTTTTGCCCTAATACTTTTTAACACTTTTCCAAACAGGTCGCGATCATTTCAGCATAATTTTGATCATTGCGCAGCCAGGTGGAGTAAATTTATTGGATCAAGGCCACGCTGAATCAGGCAAATGTTAACATATTTTGTAACGATAGGTGTAGTTTGCGTCGTGATTGGTGCAGGTGTGCCCTTTTGGTGCTTGTTAATTTTTTGCAACTCACTTTGCTTATGGAACTTGCATGCAACTGTCCATTACGTTTCAAAGATAAGCAGGGACATAACAGCAAATTATTGGTGCACGCATGCAGCATCTGAGCCGCATTGCCATCGTCTGTGATTGCTGTTGCAATGTGAATGTGTCTCTAACACAGCTTGTATGCACTTCTTCAAGTTTGCTCTTCATTGCTTAATATCTGTATGATGACAATTGTTGCAATCCGTTATGAAACTATGTGACCTGGCCTGATCTGGCCTGGGCCTTTCAGATGGTTTTCAAATATAGTCAGCCGCAAAAGTTCGTCATATTGCACAGAATGACGTGTTATAACATGAGCATCACCATAACGGGGTTGGTTTTCATGTGACAGAAAACATTTTATCCCATGACAGCCTTTCCTTGATCTGTCAAATGTAAAAATGTATGCAATTTAAGGTACACGACTATTTGCAATCGACCTGAGCTTTTCAAATAATTTTGCTCATTTTGCATGCCCTTCAAATAATTTTCAATCAAAACAGCGTCCAAAAATTAAAGTTTATCGTTTACAAGACATGATAACGCTTATACGATAGAGCATCGCTCCAGTGGCTTTTTCAGCTGAGGTGATATTTCCGTGCCTTTAAAGCCCACTCAGTCGACCCAGGCTCACAAATCTTGAAATATACGAAATCGTTATGAAAAACAGCAAAGAGCACGCCGCTGCTTGCGGAATTACTTTTTGATAATAAGATTGGAAAGTGTACCGAAGACATTTCATATTATCAGGGAGAGGGGACGCGGATCCTCCTTGATAGATGACTTTGCATCGTATTCACACTAGATGTTTAAATTTTGAAGTTCCTGATCTCTGTGGTTCATGACCTATGACCTCTATCTCGTAGTTGTGTCGATGACATTTGCTCAAAAGCAAAAACAAGCTTTTCTCGCAGTAAATGCACTCCAAATAGATCTTCTAGATCGTCGCTCTTATATCGACCACTCCAAAGGGCATTGCAATAGCTCTGGTGGCTTTTACAACGTGCTCAACATACTCAGGGACATAATACCCGAGGACAGAACTTTCAAGGGAAGACGGCAAGGGGACCAAAACAAGCAAGGGGAAGGTAAAGTTGACCCCTCTGCCGTTGGTTGAAGATGAACTATTCAGAAAGGTGGAGCGGTTGGTGAGGAGCAGCGGACTGCAATGCAAAACGTGAACAGGCCAAAATTCGCTGCAACAGTATTTCGCCAGAATTAATATGCGAAAGACTGACCCATGAAGCTGACCCAACGCATATGCATTCCCCCACGCGTGGCTTCGATGGAACCTGCGTGATAAATAACGTAATTTATGGATTGGACCGCTTTGCCACATACGTGGGTGAGTGCATACGCCAAGCAAGAGAACGTTTCTTTGATCATCGTTGCGACGCCTTCGAGGGCATCAACAACCCGATAAGACTTCACTTTCACGCTCGCCGCGGTTTTGATGTCTTCTGAAGTTCCAGTCGTGACAAAAATATTGTGCAAGTTACATGGCCATGTCGAACGAAAACTTAAAAATCCTGCTTTTGCCGAAATCAAACACGCCATGGACAAAAATATATCCAGCTGGTCTCTCTTCAGTTCACAAACGGTGTGGCACGGACATAATGTGGACATCGTAAATAATACCCCGGCGACATCATGCAGTGCGCATTTCATTATTTGTAAGTGTCCGCAGTAAATGCAAGGTTTGCCCTGCAGTGAAAAAAAAAATTACATAAATCACGGAAATGCAGTGCTTAGATAATTCAGTTCACCTCGCGATTTATTCAGTGTTTGATGGATCCCACCACAGTACCTGATACCCCTACATTAGAAACGGGTATGTCGCAAACGTGGTCGGCAAGGACGAGCAATGTGCCTCGCACTAAACTAAACCCACATGTTTAAGCGGCCAGGGTATGGTTTAACGACAACTCCTACGACGAAAAAACAAAGCATGATTTCGGCTGCTGGGCGCGTGCGTTTTGTAAAAAAGAGCCGTCACAAAACAAAGCAACCGAGGCAACTACATATTTGATCAAATTGGTGGTAGCGAACACTGAGAAAACAACGTTGAAACGGTGACGCAGAGTGATCAGACCTTATTTGACTATCTTATGCATTCCGGGTACGTGGCCACTTCATGAGGCGATTTCAAACGACATACCGGTTCGTGTGAGCTTGTTCGATTTTGCGCTGCGAGACGATTTCATTGATTGTAATTTATAAATAATCATTCTAAGCCAAACATGCACCCATTTTTTCGAACAATGACAACTTAAACATAAAGGCGCAAATTGCTTCCGCAGAACCCACCGATCTGCAAGGTTTGGCTCAACTGGGATCCTCACACCTAGCTTCAAGACTTCATTAACAACTCCAATAATCATAGGAAGCCAGATAAGATAGGTTGTGTGTAGATTAGAGCCTTATTAGCGTAACTAACGCGAATGCAACGCCTCAGGTACATACCTAAAACGCACTGCAGCTCGGAGTTTCCCCGCAGCGGAAACCGACACGCCTAGCATGCTACCTCATCGTAAGAACAAGAGTTTTCAACATCATTTCCTACAACTACCGTTTTGCATAATAACACAAACACATCAGGGTTATTAGTAGGATCAAATTATTATTTTTTAGAGGTTTGCCTGTATTTCAAAGTGGCATGTCCCGTCATAAAAATTAATTGGAAGGCGTGCTGGGCACCGTCGTAGGATATCATTTCAGTTGGTTGCTGACGGACGTGGGGCTGCAGGTAAACCACATAATTGTGTGTTTAATTCCATGTATTTATTCATGACATAGCACAACTGCAATGGGTTTGCAAATAACGTCTAGGGGATACAGTGTAAGGCCTGCTGAACTACAAGCTCATCGCCATGCAGTCTTATCTGCATTCTAGGGACTTGCCCACTGAATGTTGGATTGCGCGTTACTTGCCCAGTTCACATAAGTTTGTCCAATTTGCCTGCGAGTCTGCATTATGTTACAGCTGATGCTCCTCTTTTGATTCCACACGTCTGCTGGTAATTGAAGATGGGTGTTGCCGATATGGATGTGTATGGACTCAGCGACCCCTGGCTGGTCATCCGATAAATGATTGTGACCCGAAATACCGTGGCAATAGCTTCGCACATTCAAAACTTTTACATTTGAATGACTAAAATCAAGGCGTCTTGTGTATTTTCTAATAACCCAGTCATCCGAGATCAATCCAGGTCAAAGTTGCATTTTTCTACAATTTTTAGCCTGAGCGTCATAAGACTTAAACGACAAAGGGACCTATCATACAGCTTGAAAATACATTTCAGACACGTTCTTCCCATTGATGGGGTTTTCTTGTTTATTGATATAGTCACACCATCCCAGAAGGACATATTGACATGTTATGATTCAGTCAAGGGCTTGAGCGGATTCAACCAAACACCCAATCAAATTCGGACGCAACATTTTCAAAGGGACCAAAACCACTTTGACCAAACAAACTTGCATTCTGACATGTCTGTCAATGTTGCATGACCTGGTTGCTCAAAATGCCTGTTATCGCTGCATGAAAAACTGTTTTGTTTTCACAACTTTTGTTGTTTTCGTCGTAGTTTTGAATACATTCAGGACGTCGTTTCAGATGGCCTAGTATATTTACATTTATTATCACTTAAGCTGGATTACATCAAACTGTCAGGAGTGTCTGAAGGAGTGTGACTGAACGTCACAGCGGAGCTCATCATTGAAATAATCTGAAGAAGATCACGCATTTGCCATTGCAGCCCATACCATCAAAAATGGTTTGATCATGAACTTACATAACATGGTGAAAAAGATGTGGAGGCTTTTCCAAACCATAAAGCACTGCGAAATGGCAGAGGAGCTATTCCCACACTGCCCAACTTGCTCTGTTGGATCACTTGCCACAGGGAAGCCATTAGCAGAGTCCAGCGAACCCCTGGTCGGACCTCATGCAGCATTTGAGAGAATACATTTATAGCATGTAAAACGAGCGTCGCGATAACATAATTTGATATGCAGCTCAAGACCAAAATACCACGGCTTACTGGGATTGATGCGTAAATCGCCCCCGGACGTAGTACCAATATATCTTTCATGACAACCTCGGCTCCTCATACGTCGTTTAATGCAACAATGCAGTGTCCATTGGGCTATCGCCCGCAGTGCCTGTGTAAACGTATGTGATATGAAACTGCAACATCCGTAAACTATGGGACACGAGGATAAAGTCATATTCACTGGCTGTGTAATATTTTGTTTATTGCATTGGCACGTGTTATGTAGCTTATTGCAGAATGACATTCTCTGGGAAGCACGCTTCGAAGAGATGAAAGAAGGCGAAATTTGTCCTCTTGCTATCTCTACTTCCAGTAATACTTAAGGCATTCATTTTTCAGGAAATAGGGCATAATGATCATATATAGAGTTTCGAGTCGATGTAGCAGTGAGTCAGGGAGTTTATGGTTAAACTTGACAACGAATGGATGGGTTCATATGCCAACTGTCAGTTACGATCGAAAATATTGTGTATGAAAAACACCGAACCCGTAACACTTGCAAGTGATCAAAGCGATTGATGATATGTATGAGCCAAGAACAATGATGATGATTGATATGATATGATCAAACCACATGATTATGGTGTGATTACTGGTATAAGGGGTGAAAAAGTTTGAATCGAACCTAGGTCAACGACTAACTCACTGTATGACTTGGTCAAATTGGTAGCGCTCATTTTCTAAGCAAGCCTTTCTCATAACGACTGGGGTTTCTCAAATCACCACACACACACACACACACACTCACACGCACACGCACACGCACACGCACACACGCACACACGCACACACACACACACACGCACACACGCACACACGCACACACACACACACACACACACACACACACACACACACACACACACACACACACACACACACACACACACATGCACACGCAAACACGTCTGAACTGGCCGAAGCATGACATTTTTCCCATCGAGGCCGTTCGCCGTGCTTTTCAGCGAGCAGCGGCGCCAGCCTCCGGTCGCTGATTATTACGTGACGAGGTGGGTTCAAGGTCGAGCTGACTGAAGGGTGCGTTCGATGATAACTTCTCTTTGGAGAAAAGCTTGGAGAGTGGTCACTCTCTCGCGAATGTCTCTGTCCATTCAACGGAAGGCCCGGTACGCCGCGGGCGCTCGTTCGCCGTTGCAGCTGGTTGGCATCGCGGTAAATGGACATTCCGGCCTTGTCAGGTTGTAGGTATAAATAGTCCGGAGCGGTTTCGGTCAACGTCTCCTACTGTTGTCATTAGCAACACCAACTATAGTTTGGTGTTAACGGCTTTTGATTGTGCTGTTTGAGAACAATAGAGAACCGGCCTGCGGTTTCGTCTCCGTCTCCAGTCCGCGTGTTTGTCTTTACACCTAGCAGTAAAACATAGCTTTCCAATATCAGCAATCGACCAAAATAGCCAATAAAAATATAACACCCTCATATTTCATTCAATCTAAATCAGATGGTGCACAGGGAATGGTGCACTGGACGCATATCATTATTGATTTGTATGTTAATGGAGATGTCACTCGTAAAAAGAGGCCTCGGCGGACGCGCGGAATCAAATGGCGCCGCAAGTTTTTATTGTTGTCCTATGTATGTGTTGTGCCGCCTTCCCGAATGCCATCCGCAGCTGCTGCGCTCGCCGCCATGTTTTGATCCCGCCATCGGGCATCCATCAATGGCAGCGCGGCGCCGGGGCATTTATCAATAACACCACTTCTCTCGCCATCGGTCGCGCCCGCCGCGCCCCAGACGTATTTTTCCGCTGCAGTCGCGAGGACAATTTCGGCGCTAAAAAGCGCGTCGGTCTCTGCCAAACCTTCCGAATGCGCCGCAGCCATCAAATCCAACCCCAAGTTGAAAACAGCTGGCTGGCGCACGACAACTGGAAAGGGATACGTGATGGAGGAGAGAGGAGAGAGCGATAGTTAGATAGAGAGGCAGCACAGAACGAGAGACAACGGAAAAGGCAGGGGCCGGGAGGAGGGGGCAGGGGCGACAACCACAGCCATTTTAGGCGGTGAGCCTGAGTGGCTGCTACCGTTACAGCAACAAGGGTTGATATCATGTCCAACATACATCCATATGCGTGACGATGACTAAGGGCTGTGTCCAAACCCGAACGCTTTTCATTCCCAATCACCCGTTACCCATCTGGCGCCTGTTTTTCAGCACTTGAGTTATAACTCACCTAAGTGCTGTTAATTAGTGTTTCAGAAAGATGCACACACCAGCTGACTGTTTACTTTGGCAGCTGCACAAGTAGTGCCAATGAAGCCAACTGTGACTAAAGAGGGACGCAGTAATATTATGTAGTGTGCATTGAGCAACCCACAAAAAGTCATAAATGTATTTCTTCATACCTGTACCCATAACATAATTGAGTTCGAACTCTGCATTCAATCCAGCATATTACCCACTCCACATGGGTTGTCATGGGTTTACCCAGTCCGTGCAGTCCTTAACGCGCAAGACAAAAACAAAGCACCAGCGTGATGGGAGGTGCACACGGACGGTGACCTTCCTCCGCTGAACTCGGACGGTGACCTACCTCCCTTGACCTCGCAGATGAGCCGAGCCGTGTCACCCTCCTTATAGGGGCCGGCCGTGGAGGAGATCATGCCGCCGGTTTCGTTGAAGAGCCGCGGCTGCTGCGGCGGCACTGAAACACAGCAAGCGGACGGCGTCAGGCCTCGCAGCCGGCAGCCCGGTGTCAGGGCCGGCGGCGTAGCGGTGTTGGTGAGCCATTCTCCGACCGGGCGAAGACTCGCCGGCGACCACAATGATAACTTGACTTCATTATCAGAACTTGGGTATGTGCAGGGGGACGTAGGAGCGGTAGGAGGGGCCATACTGACCGCGTCTTTTGAAAGCTTTGGGTTTCAACACGTAATAATTAACATACACATGGCAAAACATAAATAAAATACACAATCTACCTCATTTCCAAACAAACCAGCACCCCGTATTGAAATACAAGACAATGTCAGACAGCCTTGGACCTACGATGTTATCAATGACGTTTTAAAAGCGTGGATATGTACGCGTATTGCCAATGCAACTTATTCAGTACGGAAACAAACAATATGCAACACAACATGTAAACTCGCACAGCTTCAACACCAGCATAACATCGTGAAGAGTTAGCGTTTGGAAATGGGTGCCGTTTTAGTTTTACATCGAGACTTTCGTGCCACATCAAGCACTGAGTCGCGCGTGGGAAACACTCGGGCGCCAGCACACCGGACGCCACGTTCGTATTTTCGTGTGTGTTCGGCGAACTTCGCCGGGGAAGGGGTACTTTGCATGCAGGTGAGCCAGTGCAGGAAACTTTAGCAGACTCGGGATGCAGGAGAGAAGGAGACCAACTTTGTTGCACTCGGCGGGGCGTAGCTTGAGTGGCAGTGCCAGCAGGGCGTGCTGCCATTGTGCCAAGCCGGAAATTCATACTCCGTAGCCGTGCTCACAGCTTCCAGGAGATTGGCTTCTACAGCACGGCTCCCTGACCACATAACGCAGCGACAGGGCTTTTTGAAACTCTGAGGCGAAAGGCATGCCTCCATTCATTCACAGCGAACCTAAGTCATATTTCTGGCGCGATTTCAGCGCGAAAAACAAGCTTTAGTATTGACCGTCCAAACACGCTTCAAGTGCTGGTGCCTGTGCGCGGCAGGGTGCCGGAGTCGGTGGCGGCAGCCGTCACTAGCGGGCGCTGGTCCGGATGACAGCCGTCACCAGCGTACGCTGGCCCGGCCGACAGCCGTCACCAGCAGGCGCTGGTCCAAGCGACAGCCATCACCAGCGAACGCCCCATCACCAGCGGACGCTGGTCCTGACGACAGCCGTCACCAGTGGACGCTGGTCCTGACGACAGCCGTCACCAGCGGACGCCGGTCCTGACGGCTGGCGACAGCGCGCTCTTCGGCAGCCTCCATTTTCACCAGCGCGCCGGTGACGGCCGACAGCCGACGACAGCGTGACGACAGCGCACCCCGCGGACCTGCTCGTGCCGGCCGCGTGACGACAGCACACCCCGCGGGCCTGCTCGCGCCGGCGGGCAGATCCACAGGGTGCGCTGTCGTCACGACAGCGCACCCTGTGGATCTGCCCGCGCCGGCCGCGTGACGACAGCGCACCCTGTGGATCTGCCCGCGCCTGCCGCGTGACGACAGCACACCCTGTGGATCTGCCCGCGCCGGCCGCGTGACGGCAGCGCACCCTGTGGATCTGCCCGCGCCGGCCGCGTTGCGACAGCACGCCCGCGGGCCTGTTCTCGCCGGCGGCGTTTTTACGCCCTCCAAGGCGGTGACCGGGCGACCATTGTGGCCCGCCGGCCTGTCCGGCGTGTGATCAATCACGACATTGCACAAAGACGGGTCGGTGGCGGCGACTTTCCGCCACCGCTGGCGGCATCGATTGCCCCGCTTTCCTTCCCCTCCCCCGCGGCCCCGTCGCTGTCACATCATTTGTCCGACGATGGTGGCCCGAGCGAAGGTCGCCCGGCCGCTCGCCCCGAGCACCGCAAATACGACCCAGCGGTCCCCCTGGGAGGAGGGCAGGGAAGGACACCCATCGCGCCCGAGAGCGGAAACCCCGGAGAACGCAGAGCCGCCCGCAGGCGGTGACGCAGCTAATGAGGCAGAAGACGATGACGCATCCCATAAAGTGGAGCGTGAATGTGTCAACTGCAGTGAGGCTCTGCGACGCCATGCTGGTCGACGTGACGACATCCGCCCAGAGCTGAAGTTTCGGGTGGAAAAGTGATGGTGGGAGCTGCTCGTACTCCTCATGTCCAATCATCTGACAGTGTGAGGACGCTACGCAGCTGGTCAAAAAGGCGCCTCATCTAGAAGAGCGTTAGCCAGCGTGAGCAGAACGTAGTACGTTGCACCTGACGCCGCGGTTCCGCCGACACGCTGACAGCTGCACGGATGAATATGAGCAGCCTACCGGTGCGCGAGAGCAGAGCTTGCCAGAGGGCCACCCCATGCCACCACCATGCCATTGCATGTGCTCCGCTGGCGTTGTTTGTCAAGTGTGATATTGCTGCCATAGTCCATTGACCTTGCGAGTTACATCCAAGCTTTTGTATAAAATGATCAGCCATTCAATCGCCTACAGCTATGCAACGTCTGGTGTCGCTTTACCGCGTCATTTGGAATTCATTCGGGAAAAACATATCGGCATTCAGGGAGAGCCCCAGCCAGCACAGACTACTTACTGTGCTGCGCTGGCTTCGTTTATCAGGAGTGATATTGCTGGTATGGTATACGACTGCTGTACCTGCAAGCTGAAGTGTGATGTGCTCTTCAAAATTCATGCTGACATTCATTTGAGCAGTACACCACCCGGCGCTACTCAGGCTTGGCTCTGAATGGCGCTTGCATCACCACTGATACATAAATCAGTCGCTTTGTTTAATTATGAAGCAGTCGCGTGGGTTTAATGAATGCGAGCTTTAATATTTAAGCTGATATTGCCTCGATCTCGATAGCCGTCAGATAGGCCAGGCTCGTAAAAAATGCATGGTATTCAACGCATAGATGACATAGCTGCACGAGGAGGATGGCATTATCGCAAGTATCGTCATGAGAGTGACACCAGCTCATTGCAATTCAAACAACTTCCTAACGACGTCACGCTTTTGCAATGACCCTTTCCCTGAAACAACTTAAATGTGTGTGATTTTGGGAGGTGACGGGATGAAGACCACGGAAGGCAAGTTCGATTGAAGAAGATAGCTATGTGAACAAGATAGCCGTTAGTCCAAGTGGAGCTCCAAACCGCGGGATTTGACCGACCCAGGCTGACCATTCGTACCAAGAAGGAAGATTGCAAGATATTGACTAGCTTGAGCTCCCACCAGCGGGGCTTGACATATGCAGAACGGGTGGAGTTCCGTGCACCGTCATTTGATGCATACAGGCTGGATGGAGCCCGCCGTCGCCACCCATTCCAGCTAATGACATGGCGAGGGATGGCTGCAGCCGTCGGCCGGGCTTGCACGCCATCTCCGCGTTATCTCGTCACATGGCAAACTGCATATGGTGGCCGGCGGCCGCGCCAGCACCGCCAGGTATGGAAATAAAAATGTGCTCGGGCGGGCCGTGGCAGCGGGAAGTGCGGACCGTATCAGCGGTGAGGGCGGCCGTATCAGCGGCGAGTGCCGGCCGTATCAGCGCGGAGTGTCGGCCACATCAGCGGGGAGTGCCGACGGTATCAGCGCGGAGTGTCGGCCGCATCAGCGGGAAGTGCCGACGGTATCAGCGGTGAGTGCCGGCCGTATCAGCGGGGAGTACGGGCCTTATCAGCGGTGAGGACGGACCGTATCAGCGGGAAGTGCGGGCGTATCAGCGGCGAGTGCCGGTCGTGGCAGGAGGGAGTCCCGGCCGTGGCAGCGGGGTGCCGATCGTGGCGGCGGAGTGCCGGCCGTGGTAACGAAGAGTGCCAGCAGGGGCAACGGAGAGCGTCGGCCGTGGCAAGGCCGGCCGACATTCTCCACCGCGGCGGCCGCGTTGGCCAAGACAGACGGCTGCTGCGTCGTATTCAGCCGGCGACTGGGGTTGCCGGCGGCAGAATCCACTGCGCAGTTGTGTAGCCTTTGAAGTCAGGCGGACGTCATCAGAAAAACAAAGCAGTCCTCGGGCGCCATCATTTTGGCGTTCCAATTTGCGGGCGGATTGCATCAAAGCAGCTTGATTGCTACGTTTTAATTTGCGCGTGTTTTGCGAGGATTCATCGCTGACAGATGTAATATTTAAAAACACAAATCGCCGCGAAAGGTGTGTTTTGATACTTGCACCGCGGTTTCAGTCAGAATAAGGCCTGTCAGAGGAGACTGAGAGGATGTAGCCCCAACCATGTGATCCAGCACAGGCGGCGTCGGAGAGCACCCAGAGCAGAGGAGCATGGGTTACAACGCCAATGAACCCTGGCCGCCAGTGCTGGCGCTGGTCATCCTCAGACTAGCGATGGTTCGGCGTTGATAGAGAGCAGCGGTCGGCGTCGGCGGCCACGGTCGGCTATCTCACACCTCATTGCAGCCGGCAGCTGCGCTCAGACGAACGGCCCGCCTGCGACGTGCCGCCGCCGCCCCAGGCACTATTGGCGGCCAGCGCCGATCGGTCACCACCGCCCAGCTATGGCGCCCCGCCTCGGACTTTGAGGTAAATTGGTGCCGACATCTGCCGCCCTGCCGACAATTTACGACCGCCTCCTGGGCCGCGACGTAGGCGGCCGCCGCTCGTGTCGCCCGCCGGCGTGGTGTCACAATTCCGCCGATGACACCGCCGCCAGGGCCATGAAGTGGCGGCGCGACGGTGCGGCGCCGCTAAAACGCCGCGTCGGTCGCGTCGTGCGGCCAGCTGCGCCTCCAGATGGATGTTATCTGAAACCGACGACGCCCAGCCACGCCCGCCCTGATACATACGGCCGGAGTGTACCGCGCAATGGGCCACTCGCTGTCGACTGTACGTGACGCAAACAGTGAGCAAAAACGTGGCGTCAAGCACGAGTCGGGTCGGCATGAAAGGCACTTTTCAAATATGGGCTTTGTGTTGAAGAGTTTGCACCTTTTACAAACCACGTTTCAGTGGCGTAAGTAGTGCGGTTGGAAGCAATCTACGCCAGCTCTGACTGCCATGACACCGTTCTATATGCCAG